TTCAAACTGACTCAGCAATTCTCTTGCTAAATTAGACTAAGTGGGACACAGACAGAGGCCAGGGCCAAGTTTAGAACTCACCAGAGCCTGACTAGGGTTTGGGAGAGTGTGGTATAAACATGTGTTGAAGTCCTAACCTCAATACCTCAGAATGAGACTCTGTTCAGAGACAGGGTCTGAGGTCACTTGGGGGGACTTAATCCCATCTGTCTTTTTTTTTTGGAGGGGGAGGCAGGGGAGTCTTTTTGAGACAGGGTCTCTCTGTAACCCCAGCTGGCCTGGCATTTGTTATATGGACCAGGCTGGCCTCGATCTCAACAAAGGTCCACCTGCCTCTGTTTCCCAAATGTTGGGACTAAAGGTATAAACAACACCCAGCTCCATGTGTCTTTTTAAAAAGAATTTTATTGCTTTTCTTGGGGGCCGGGGCACAGAGCGTGTCAAGGTGTGAATGCTCAGGTCAGAGGATAACTTATGGGAATTGGTTCTCTCTTTCTACCATTGGGCTCTGGGGATCAAACTCAGGGTGTTAGGCTTGGCAACAAGCACCTTTACCCGCTGAGCCATCTCACCAGCTGTCTTTTGTTTAAGATTCTTCTTATTTTTGCAATATCATTCCATATAATGGCAATAGAAATGGAAGTCTTTGTTTAGTGTTTGTTTCTGAGACTGGTCTCCTGCAACCTTGAATGCCTACCTGATCCTCCCGCCTCTGCCACTGAAGTGCTGGATTACAGGTGTGCACCCCTGACACCCAGCTTAGAAATGTAAATCTTTTAAGAAGTTTACAGTTGAATACTCTAATAGAAAATCTGTACACAGTCATTTACATCAATATGACATAGTAAATTGATCTTTTTAAGAAAATATTTCATTTTTATTATTTTTATTTTACGTGTATGAATGTATTGCCTGCATGTATGTGAGTGCACCCATGTCATGCAATGCCACAGAGGTCAGAAGAGGGCTTCAAATTCCCCTAGAACTGGAGTTAAAGAGGGTTCATAGCCGCCATGTGGGTTCTGGGAATCGAACCCAGGTCCTTTGCAAGAGCAGTCAATGCTCTTAATCGCTGAGCCATCTCTCCAGCCCCTGATCATGTTTTTTAATGTTCTAATTCCTTTCACTACTTCAACCCTTAGAGTAGGAGAGGTTAAGATCCTGCCTGCCCTGATTGTATGACATATAAAATCCAGTAATAGAAACAATGCAATTTAACTCTGTTCAGAGCTCTCTTTGAGGGAGAAATCCTACTTTGATATATTGATAAAAGATCAGAAAATGAGTTTCAACAAATCATTGGATCTGTGTGCCAGATACTTGTCAGTTATCTGTAAAGAAAGCTGACTCGGCTGGAGAAATGGCTCAGCAGTTAAGAACACTGGCCGGAGACCGACTGCTGCTGGGTGAAGGAGAGTATGCCTTACATACGGTCTCTAGATGGGCTGACTGTGCTCCAGTGGAGGAATTTACAGTGAAGGACATTTGGGTACAAATGCCTGAATGGATAAGACTTAACGTGTATGGAGGAACACGTGAGGTCCAGTGGGGGGATGGAAGAGGCGTGGATGGGGAGGGGGTCTAAATTTGATTAAGAACTGTTGTATGAAATTACAAACGCTCAATAAAAAATACTTATATATTTTAAAAAAAGGACACTTCTTGCAGAAGACTCAGATTCGAATCCCAACACCCATATGGCAGCTAACAACTGTCTGTAATTCCAGTTCCAGGGGATCCAATGGCCTCTTCTCTCTTCCTTGGGCATTGCACGACACGGTTGCACTTACATACATGCAGGCAATACATGCATACACATGAAATAAAAATAAGTAAAATATTAAAAAAAAAGAAAGTCGACTCTAGATTGGCTCCGTGAGTACATGGTTTAATCCACATCAACCCATCTGTCAAGTGGCAACTGGAGCCTCAGATTCTAGTGGCAGATTGCCTAACATACACCTGTGGTCTCACTTGGGTGGGCAAAAGACAGTAAGCCATGAAATGTTACAGACGACAGGGTTCAGTCTTCCCTGGACTGAACTCCAGTTACAACTTAAAACACATAAAACACACTTTGCATAAAAGTAAGGCAAAAATAACAATTCATCAGAGATAATGAACTCTGAAGAGAAACAGGTCCCGGAGCAAGCGTTCAGAACCCGGCTCCAGCCTCCCTGGCCAGGCGGAGGAACTGTTTCTCTGGGTGGCCACCAGGTGGCACTGAGCTCAAGAGCACTTAGTCTGGGTGTGACTGGCATGTGGCAGGTAAGCCACCATAACACATCAGTCACCCTGAGGGCCGGCCTGAGACTCAGAGCTGCCTTCTGTGAGTCCTGTTTCTCTGAGGTCTACAGGTGTTTCTTGCAGACTGCATCCTTCCTCAGCCGGGGGATTGCAGGGCTACCTTCTGGAGTTGATCCCTGGTCCCACGACCAACTGCCTATATTTCTTCGATTTGTGGGGAGCCTTGGGATGTCAATGTGGTGGTCATGGGCATCAATATTCCTTCCAAGCTGATATGCTCTGTCTTCCTATCAGGACACCTGCCTGTCTCCCTAAAAGCCAGTGCTAGAGGCAGATGACCCTGAATCAGAGCTCCGCGTGCCGTTTTTTTTGTTTGTTTTGTTTTTTGAGTTTTCTACATCGTGCAATCTCTCTGTGTTACTGTCAGTCTTCACGTTACCTTCTTCACCTGTGCCTGTCCAGACTGAACATCTAGAGTGGAATTAGGCTTTAGGGAGTGGCGACAAAGCTTTTGGGTCTGGGCTCAGTGGCCAGGCACGCGCCTTCCTCAGTGTCCTCGGCTTTTGGGAGCCTCCTACTGGCCCTGTGCTTCTGTCCAAGCTTCCATGAGGGGGAGGAGGAGATGATTAAGCTCTGAATGGTGGCACTGTCTGTAACCTCAGCACTCAGAAGGCTAAGGCAGGAAGATGGAGAGCTATAGGCTAGCCCAGGCTACATAGTGAGACCCTGCCTATAAATTAAAAAGTAAGCAGGCGCATCGATAAGGGCACAGAAAGGAGATGCCATGGGCAAGCCATGGGGAGATGCCACCTGCCCACACCTTGGTCTTAGCCTTCCAGTTCCCAGGACTGGCAGAGCCAATGTTTGTCATCTAAGCTCTGGTCAGCAATCCTTGTCACAGAAGCCCCATGACATGCAGGGGGTGCCAGGGACAGGCTTGACCGCTTTGTAGTCTGGGGCAGCTTGCATACACCAGCTACTGCACACACCTGCTGCTTGACTGGTCAGCAAACGTCGGGGCTGTCGTGGGCATCCTCGTTCTGGGTCTGGATGAAGGGGACAAACCTCCACCCACAGACAGACAGACAAGAACAGGCTTTGGCCAGGAACCAAAGAAAGTGGGGTGAGGGGCGGGATGGGCCCCACCTATAGGCAGCAGGCTGTAATTCAAAACTTTCAAGTGCCAAGGACTGGATGACAAAGCGAAGGAGGCTTATTGTGAGAAGTGGGGGACTGCCGAGATGCAGGAAGTCTCAGAGTCTACCCGCCTGTAGTGGATGGAAGAAGGTGATGGGGGACCATCTCTCTGTACCTGTTCATCCCAGGTAAGCAGGGCCTGCTTCTTGCTCACATATATGCATATATGAACACACAAGCACACACACACACACACACACGTGTGCATCTACCCAGACAGAGCCCTGTTCCTCGTGCCTGTGTTTCACAATGTGTCTTCAGAATCCACACCTCTAAGTCCTTCCTTCCTTTAAATACATCCGAGGCACTGAGCCCCCCTTGGCCTACTGTTATCCCCTGCCTCTGGCCCCAGCTGGCACAGACAGCTGCCCACTCATGTGTGTAGTATCAGTGTCCCTGCCTGTAAAATGACAGACATCCAACACTCACCCTGCTGTGGGCACTGGTCAGGCCCCAGGTACCTTCATGCTGATCTGTAGCCTTCGGGGCCTAAGAGGCTTCTGTACCCAGCAAAGAGTCATACATTTCTCTGCAGGACTGAGTCCGCCACACTGGAGGCCCAGGACGTGGCCTCTTGGTCGTCACCTCTAGCTGTAGCTCTCTGGGGGCTCTTTCGGACACACATGGGAACACCCAAGCCATGTGCCCCAGCTCAGGATACTTCCCTGGCTCTGCGCCCATGCTCATCAAGGCCTGCGGATGCTCCCTTGCCCCCGGGGCCCCTCAATATGCCACAGGGTCCCCAAAGAGGGGAGCATCTGAGGGCTCCGCCATCTCCTCTACCCTGGAGATGAGGACAGAAACCAGATGAAGACTGGTCCCCAGCAGAGTGGAGGACAGACAGGTTAGGGAAGTTCAAGCTTTGATTTTGAATAATCTGAGGCACAGCACCTTCCAGTAGCCCCCACTTTCACTGTGGCCAGCTGTGTGCCAGCCCCATGCCCAAATGTCTGCCCTACAGAGCAAGCCTTCCTCTCTGCACACCCACTCTCCTGCCCTTGCCTCTCCTCCAGCTTCCCAGTGCGATTCCTGCCCCTCTGATCCCTGCAGCTTCTGGCCTTGAAGCCCTTACTCTGCTCAAGACCCTTGTTTACAGGATGGTTCCTCCCACTAGAACATCCCTCTGGGACCCCTAAGGTCTGGGGAAGTGCTCAACAAAAGTAGATGTGCAATGCAGGCTGAATCTATGAATGAGGGAATGAATGAAGGTCACCTTGGAGGTGACAGAGGTCTCAAGCGTGAAAAGCCAGATAGATATGTGTCATCTGGGCAAGAGACTCCAAACTGCACAAGGGCCCACTCAGAGGCCCTGGGTAGGACTGAGCTTGGCTGTCTGAGGAGGGAAGGCTGTCTAGGAGGACTGAGGCAGGGGAGGTGACAACCAATTACACAGGGCCGTGAGGCTAGAAAGAGGGCCAGGGGTTCACTTTGCCAAGCACTTCCTCTCCCCATCATGGCAAACTCTTTCCAGCCTGGCCTAGCTTTAGGTGCCAGGAATACAGACCCCCTGAAATAAACATCCACGACAGAGCACCTCAAAGCTCACAGAGGTGATTTTAATTTTAGGACACAGGCAGTCTTGTGTCCCCACCAAGATCAGGACTGTCCGCAAGCTGAGCTCTGTGCTCGAACTTCCTGGTTCTCGGGCCTAACCAGCTCAGCTGCTGGGGTGACAGAGCGTGTCTCCCTCAGAACAGAGGGACTGCTGGTGTGAAGCAGCTCCGCTTCACCTGATGATGTAGGGAGGGGTCGGTGCTGTGTTGCCCACTGTCTGTGACACACTCCGGGGTCAGGAGGAGAAGGGTGGCGTCTCTGCCAGCGGTCGAGACATGCTCTGGATGGCCCACTGCAGGATGCCATCAAAGGAATGCTGGGGGAGAGTGGCAGCGGAGGCTCAGGCCGACTGGACCTCCTCAGAGCCAGTGCCCATTCCATCACGGAGTCAGAGCCCACTCTGCCATGTTCACAGGATTGCAATCATCATGACAGGAGGGTATCACCCATGCTGACCCTCTAATTCAGAGATAGGAGAACTGAGAGCCAAGGCCCACCCCAGGACATGTCAGTCGCCGATGAGGGGTGGACTCCTCATCCAGTGCTCCTTTATAGCAGCCTGTGCTTAGCACCCTGGGGCTCCTGCATGAATATGGTGGGCCACTGCTACTGGAGGAGCAGCCACGGGAACAGGGCAGCACCCATTTCCCCAGAGAGGTCTGGACGCTGCCTGATTGGGGGCAGCAGACGCCTGATTGGGAGCACAGCCCACGCCTGGTGACACGTTACCTCATTCAGAAGGGACTCCAGGTCATCCCTGCGCAGAGCAGTCTCATGACCAGTAGAGTCTTCTCCTACCTGGAACCCCAGAGAGGAATGAGTCACTCTAACCCAGCATCAGGCTGGAGTTGAGAAGCAGGGTTCTGAACTTGGAGAGGCGGCAGGCCTGTGTCCTGCCACAGAGCAGGTCTAAGACCCAAGTCTTCAGGCTGGGGGCCCAGGCAGGATGGGGCAGCCTGCCCACCTATACATTGCCTGTAGCCTTCTGGAGAGGAGTAACTGGTGGTAAAGGGGGTTCGTTCTGGATGGAGACCTGAGGCCCAGAGAGGAAAGCGCAGGGCTGAATACAAGTCAATTCTCATTCTACAGCGATATCAAGGCCACCATGAGCTCGGGCCCCAGCTGCCACCCTGGCTCATGGGCAGGAGGGAGAGATCGCACGATGATGCATCACACAAAACATGGGCATGTCGCACAAAACAAAACAGGGCATGTGCACAGCTCAGCACCAAACTCCCAGCTCTCCCACACAAGAGAGCCTGGTAAACCCAGACCAGAGGGCAGGCTGACCCTGAGTGGCTGAGGAGAGCATCTGAGGGTCTATGTGGGAAGACACCGATGGTAGAAGTCTGCTGGGAGGGGACCCAGGAAGGCAGGAAACAGGCTTGCTTGAGCCTCTGGACACAGTAGGAAGATGGGTGAGCAAGAGACACTTCTATAAGGTGGAACATGCCATTCCTGGCTGGAGCCAGCACACTGAGAGCTCTGTTGTCTATGGGCAAGAGCACAGGTCCGGGCATAGTCATGTGATCAGTAAGAACTGGCAACAGGCAGAGGGAGCTGTTGGCTACACCCTGGTCACTGTGCCTCTCTGGGGGCCCTCTACTGCAAAGTAGGGATGAGTTCTAGCTAGGTGGAAGATTGGTGGCAGATGGCTCTCGGGGACAGCCCTGGCCAGCAGCTTTGACTCTCCTCCCCAGCCTGGAGCCTCCTCATCCCCTGCCCACCAGGGCAGCAGTATGGATGCCCCAGAGTTCCAAGGGCTGGGGGCCAAGTACTTTCATAATTACTTAGGGTGTTTCTCTTTAAAATAGATCTAACTTATCAGAACATAGTCCATTTATAGAAAAATACTTTCTAAAAGTAGTGGGACACATGGTCGTGGGTATGGTCTTAGATGTTTCTCCATCCCCTTGGGATCCCACCTGGGCTGGCCATGTACTGACCTTGGCTGTCCCGGGGGCTGCCCGCACAGGGCTTGGTGCTCCCTCGCTCGGTGCTGTGGCTGGGTCCCCTGAGCAGGACTTGCAGCGCAGACTGGTCCTATCAGAGTGGGGAGAGTTTGCTCAGGTTCTGAGAGCCCTAGGGTGGGGTGGGTCATCTCCCTGCCCTGGGCCACCCACCTCACTCACCCTGGCCGGACAGCAGCCGTCACAGTTGGAAAGTGGCAGCGCCAGTGGAAGGCAGCAGCACAGTGAGAACACCGCAGTGCATCGGCACCATCTCCACAAATACTGCACCGGGCACCAGGCACTGGGCCCTGCAGGAGGGAGGCAGCAGGGTGGCCCCAGACCTACCTTGCGCCCTGCACACCATATGCCCCGACCCCTGCAGGGCCAGATGGCAAGGCCAACACCAGGAGACCCAAACATGCACAGGAATCTGCACGGTGGCAGGCCTGCAAGTTCTAGACCTTGGAGTCCAGGGAGGACAGGGGTGACCATGGCTACTGGCAGAAGTGACCTGCTGTGCTGGGCCCAGTTCATCCTCGAACTGCTCCTGCCAACTGCCCCGCCACACAGGAGGCACCTGCAGGAAATGTGGCTGCTGGAGCCCCAGAGGGGTTGGATGGTGCTGGGACTTGCAGGCATAGTCCCCTTTTGTGAGCCTGCTACCATGGATAGTGGGAGTATTGCCCAGGTAACCAAGCTAGGTTTTTCTTTTCTTCTTAAAAAACAATGTATGTTTGTTGGGGGCTGGAGAGAGGGCTTAGCGGTTAAGAGCACTGACTGCTCTTGCAGAGGACCCAGGTTCGATTCCCAGAACCCACATGGCAGCTGTGAACCATCCTTAACTCCAGTTCCAGGGGAATCCAAAGAGTCCTCCTCTGACCTCCACAGCATTGCACGACACAGGTGCACTCACATACATACAGGCAATACACTCATACACATAAAAAAAAATAATAATAAAAATATTTTAATAGGTATATTTGTGTGTGTGTGTGTGTGTGTGTGTGTAGGTCAGAGGACAACTTGCAGATTTGGTTCTCGCCCTTCCACCACAGGAGTCTCTGGGCTCCTCAGTTGTGGCAGCAAATACCTTTATCTGCTGAGCCATCTCAGGATCCAGCTGGGCTTTTCCTTTTTTGTTTTTATTTGTTTAATATTTTGTTTATTATTTTTATTATTTTATTATTTTATGTGTATGAGTGTATTGTCTGTGTGTGTGTGTAAGTGCATCCGTGTTGTGCAATGTCCACGGAGGTCAGACGAGGGGGTTGGATTCCCCTGGAACTGGAGTTAGCCGCCTTGTGTGTGCTGGGAATTGAACCTGGGTCCTCTGCAAGAGCAACCAGTGGTCTTAAACCACTGAGCTATCTCTCCAGCCCGTTTGTTTGTTTGCTTCTTTCTTTGTTTGTTTGTTTGTGACAGGGCTTCACTGTGTAGTCCTGACCGATCTGGAACCCTCTATGTAAATCAGGCTGGCCTTGAACTTATAGAGCTCTGCCTGCTTCTACCTCCGGAGTGCTGGAATTAAAGGAGGGGGCCACCATGCCCTAGATGGGTTTTTCCAGCATCAGTCTGTGGCCCTGCTGAGAACCATGCAGGAGCCCCTCCTCCACCCGTGCCTTGGTGCTCTCCTCACAGCTCCTGTGCCACCCCACATGCCTCCCTCTGACAGCCCGGCTCCTCCTGGCAGAGGCCTCCCCTGACCTAGGAACCTCCTTTCTAATTTCTACTCTGTTTCTCCCCAGCCTCAGTAGAGAATCTGGCCCCTGGCTGTCAACCAGCTGCCTTTTGGGAGGTTTACCCAATTGTCCTGTATGTCCAGCGCTCCTTGAAGGCAGCACCCACCCCAAGGGTTCCCTCACTCACCTGCTGCCCTTCAGTGCCAGCACTTAACAAGGGGCACAGAGTTGAAGGCTCTAGCAGAGGCAGGGGAGGTGCAGAAGGTGGAGCCAGCAGGTTCGCATATGTGAGAGGAGTCTCTGAACTGGCTGGGAGGTCCCTGGACAGGCCCCTAGGCTCCTCTGAAGCCGACCTCAGCCCCAGGAGGATCTGGAACTCAAGGGTCAATACTCAGGTGCCACAGGGCACTGTTCAGCACCACCAGAGAGTCAGGCCTGGGCTGCGGTGATGAGTCTGAGTTTGAAAAGTCTGGGTGTGATCCTTGGCTCTGTGGCCCTCAGCAAAATCATCCACCTTTACTGTCTTAGAAGGGGTAACCTGTGTCCTCAAGGGCCTGTCAGAGCAGACCCTGGGTTGCTAACAGTGTGGTATGCAGCTGCGAGAGAAAGTTGCCAAGGTTTTTGGAGGATGTTAGCAGTGCTGAAGGTGCACCGTGTGCCAGGCCAGAAGAGAAGAGGCTCCAGGGCAGGAGGAGACATTGTAAGGGTGGCTTTCCAGGTCCCTCAGTCACACAGGAAATTCACCAGAAGGGCTACATGGGCTGGGGCAGGAGCAGCCAGGAGGCGGGACTGTAGAAGGACAGAGGGAAGGAAAGGGGTGACCCAGAGTGGGCATACCGGGGTCTCCTTGGGTGACTCCAGGGGCCGGGACTCCTCAGCCTGGGACAGGCTTTGCTGGACTCTGCCCTGGAGGCAGCAGCTGCACCTCCAGATGCCACTGTGCACATGGTCATCCGTCGCAGGCATGCAGGACAAAGTAAAGACCATAAACCCTCAGAACTGCAAGGCAGGGACGGCTCAAGGGTTCTCTGTGTCACCATGCACATTCACAGGCGGGAACCAAGCCCAGGCAGGGAAGTGACCAGGACCACAGGGCAGTTCAACAGGATATGGGTTATTTGCCCCCTATGGGTGGTCCTGGCCAAAGGGTCAGTGTCTCTTAAGTGCTTCTCTGATGCTCTGTAAGAGTTCCCCACGCCTAACCCTCAGTGGCCTGTGCCTGCTTATCACAGACCTGACCCAGCTGTGGGCCCTCCCTCAGCTGGAGTGCTTCCATCCACAGGAAACCAATGTTTCCATAGGGATGGGCCAGCATGAGTGGTCAAGCGCAGGATGGGAGGGATGATGGGCACTGGGAGAACCGTGGTGGAGGAGGCCAGACACCTACTGATGCAAAAGGCAGAGCCCAGGACAGAACCCTGCAGACTGTCGCATCCACCAAAACAGAGCCCTGTGCAGTCATTGGTGGGGGTGGGGGCGCAGCTCTGTGGCTTCTGTTCCCCAGTCTCATCTGGGAGTGGGATTTAGTGGGGGACTTGAAAAGGCCCTGTGCCCATGCAGTTTGGACTGGGAACCTGAGCAGACAAACATAATATGACGGCCCTTGCCTTGGGCAACTGTAGTGTGGCTGCCCTTGGCCTGTTGGCCTGGGTGGGCTATGTGGAAGGGAGGGGAGGCAGGTGGCATGGGACAAGAACCCTGCGCTGCCCACAGCCAGTGCCCTACAGAGTCACCTCCTGGGGGGCCTCACTTCCCATACACAAGCCAGAGGCTTTCAGGATATATTCTTTCAAGAAGTGGGTGATATCTTCTTTTAAATGCCAGTGGGTGATAGCAGCTGTCAATCAGGGTGGCCCAGGACAGAAGGCGTACCTGGGGATCTCCCGCAGAGGTGGAGACAGGCAGGCCAGGTGGAAGGCCCGGGGGCAGCCGTCACAGCAGATGAGCTCCCCTCCGTCCCGGCACACCGCACACTCATCCTCATTCTTCTGACCAGGTGAGAGGGGCCCATGCAGACCCAGAATGGGGCACAGCGTCCACCTGAGAGCCCTGCCCTAGAAGGGCTCCTCCTGCAGTGCTCATAGCCAGGGACCTGACTCAGGTTCCCTCCCTGCTCCCTCCGGGCCCCTGCCTGACCCTCTGACCTGCCTGATGCCCGTCTATCTCCACAGCACAGACTTGCTGGGTGTCCCTCTCAGGAAGAGGTGCTGGGTATCAGGTAGCCCCACCCCCAGGTTGATCCCACCCATCTCACAGGCAGCAGATGGATGGGTCTATAGGGTCTCCAGTCAGCCCCAGGTGCCTGCGGCCCCTCCGAAAACCATTCCCTTAAGCTTTGCCTAAATGGAGGCCATTGTGGGTCTGGATACCACCAATCTAGAAGCTCCCAGACATCAGCCTGGGCTGACCCTGCACAGTGACCCACACACTCCTGGGGACACTTCCTCAGATCCCCGATAGCTAGGGCACTTTTGCAGAGTAGGGCTGGGTGAGGCAGGGCAGAGCTGGACCCTTCCACCCTTGATGTCCAGGGCCAGCAGAGTGTTGCTGAGGCCTTGGGACCTACACCCGAGCATGGCAGACACAACTACACCAATGGTGCCCAGGAAGCGAGGGTGAGCTTGACATCCCCAGGGACCCCTCACACCCTGACTTTAGCAACTCCCCACCATCCCACTCAGCTGAGAGATGCTCTCAGTTTAGCCTGGATGGAATGTGTGGTTTTAAAAGCCTGTGGGGGTGGGAAGGGGGCCCTCACCTTCTCTGACTTATTTGAAGTCTCCCAGTTGTGTATTGTCAGAAACAAACAAACAAACAACACTGCCAAGAAAGAGAGGAAGAGGGAGCAGGAGAGAGAAGGGGAGCGAGGAAGGGAGGTGCCCCTCATGAGTGGGCACTCAGGACTCTGGGTAGCTAAATGCCCAGACAGGGACAGAAGGCCCAGGCTAAATGCTGGAGGAGAGGCCAGGCTCCTGCTGTTCTCTGGGATTTACCTGGTGGATCTGGGGCTCAGTAGGGAGGGCTGCAAGGGCAGGGACCCTGCCCTGCTGGCTGGTTCTCTGCTCACCTCCTCCCTGTGAGGGAGACAGGATCATAACAAGGGAGCCAGGGTTGGGAGGACCCCATATGGCCATTAGTGCCAGGTGCCTCTGGCAGCAACCCCCAGCCCCCAGGCAGAGCTCCTGCCCTGTGTGTGGGAGGGGAGGCTGTTCCGGGCCCAGCTCTCCAGAGATGGACGAGTTGGGCAGTGCTTACAGGGACAGTGCCCTGGGCTCCCTTGGCTCGGACCACGGGCTTTAGGCTTCCACCACCTCGGGTCTTGCTCTTTGCACTCGGGTCTTCAAACTTGCTAGGAGTATAAAACTCCCCCCCAACCTGGATGCACTTCTTGGAGCCCCCTGAGAGGAGAGGGTCAGGCTCGCATTGAGGGGGCTTAGCAGACACCTGCAGCCCATCATTCCTCCTCTACCCACCACCACCTCAGCCAAGTCTGCAGCCTGGGTGCTGGGTACAACCAGAGAGTCTCTGCTGGAGACTGTACTAGGTTGAACGTGTCCACCCAGAAGCTCTGAATAGGGCCTAATTGGAAATAGAGTCTGTGGAGATATAATTGGTTAGGATGATGTCATACTGGATCCCAAATCCAGTGAGTAGTACTCTTTAAAAGAGAGGGAAAACCAGAGAGACACATGGGAGGTGCGCTCAAGAGCAAGGGTTCCAGCCAGCACTGGATTCTAGAGAAGGCAGGGAGGACCCTCCCTAGCTCCAGAGGGATGTGGCCCTGCCTATACCATCATTCTGGAATCTCACTGTAAGCCACCCAGCCTGTGGCCTCTTGTTTTAATAGCCCCAGAACAGGATTCTTGGGACCACCCTGGCAGACAGAGACCAGGGCTGACATCAGCTCCCAAGATATCCTGGCAGTCCTTGGTATCCCCGGCCAGTGTCTAAGACAGAGGAGATGCTGTGGAGCAGATGCTGCAATGACCAGTGACTGCTTCCAGCAGGTCTGGCCATGTCCTGCTCAGATGACACAAGTGTCTGCACATGGTGATCCACTGGCCCACCTGGCAAGTAGGTGGTTATGGGAGGAGCCTGGCCATAGAGTAAGGGAACTGGGTCCTCATCATTGGTGGCACCCAGCAGGAGGTGGTACAGGGAGGATATAGATACTGGGGATAGGGGCAGTGGGATATGGCAGTCCAAGAACTTTGAAGGATGCACCTGTGGAGGAGGTGGGCATCCCATGCTGGCCTGGCAGGTGTGTCCTCGGGGGGCCCTCAGCACCCTCCCCTCTGCTCCAAAGCCAACAGAGCCTGTCACGGGATGCTGGCTGCCTCCACTGCAGCTGCAGCAGGGCCGCCTCCTTCCACCCTGGGGCATGGGTGTCTTTTAAAGACCTTCAAAGCCTCTACCTGACTCAAACACCTGCTGGATGAGGATCCCCTCCACAGCCCCGCGGGCTCTTGGGACGTCCCCAGAGGACACAGTCACAGCTCTCTGAACCGAAGCCGACATGGTCTGAATTCCTGGAGAAGGCACAACCCAAGTGGATTCCATCAACTGGAAAGGTGGCTCCCAAGTCCCGACTCCACACCAGGCATAGGCAGGAGCCAGCAGGCATGGGCTGTAAAATCCTCCGTTCCTCTCAGCCAAGGCAGGCTGTGGTGGACCCAGCCCCACCATGGCCAGTCAGCCCCACAGTAAATGCAGAGGTGGGCTGCATGTGCATGACTGCATGTATGCATGACTGCGTGTGCACATGTGCATGCACACAGTACAGGTCTGTGTTGATGGCGCTAAGCACAAGTGACGTGGACTCTGTGCTGTTGCTGAGGCACAGTTTGTAGGCCAGCCTTGGGGGTGATGATCAATGAGAACAGGCCTGTGAGGAATCCTTGGGGCAGGGAGAGGGTCCAGGTTGGGTCCAGCTGAGGGATAGGAATAGTTTTCTCACAGTTGCGTATCTGGGGTAGGCTGAGATCTGGGAGGAGACACCTGGGGCAGTGTGGTCAGGGTGACCGACAACATAGAGGGACCTGAGGAGTCTCCTCTTCCTCTGACTTGGTCACCTAGCTGAGGCTAGTAGGATGAGACTTCAGATAGGCATGGCCCCAGGTCCCAGGAATGTCTCAGGAGGGCAGGCCCCTCTTATCCCTACACCCTCGTTCCCTTGGCCCTACTCACCATTCCCCACTGGGAGGCGCTGTGGCTCCAAATTACTGTCTGGCTTCTTAGGGAGCTTGGCCTTATGGTGGGAGCCTGCAAAGGGGTGGCAGAGGCAGCCTGGCTCTCCTCTCTGGAGGGGGTACTAGTGGGCCAGGAAGTGGAGTGGGGTGGGGGACAGCATCTGGTGGGGTCAGATGCTGGGGTTCCCTGACCCCCTGTGAGTTTCTCCACTGGTGGGAGCTGTTTCTTGCTTCAGTAAAAAGTCATTTACAGTAGACTGATTTTTTCAAGGTAATTTTAGCAATTTAAGAAGTATCTTGGATGGAAAGCAGGAAAAAAAAAAAAAAAAAAAAAAAAAAAAAAAAAAAGGCAGTTAAAACCACCTGCCTGCCCCACCGCCCAGGAACTCAGCCTTCAGAGCAGGGAGGCGCTGAGAGGCTGGGACTTCCCCCAGCGAGCAGGTCTGGGTGCTCAGAGGAAACTCCGCAGTCCCAACAAGCTGGCCCTGGGCTTATATCAGTGGGACAAAAGCTCCTGAGAGCCAGTGGGGAAGGGACCTGCAACCTTGGCCAGCCCCTTACCGTGAGTACCTGGGCTGGAGGTGCCCCTTGGGGTCAGGGTTGCTGGTGGTGTGGTTCGAGTTTCATCTGGTGCCTTCCTCTTGGTAGGGGGTCTGGGTGGCAGTACTGAGGTCTTGGGACCAGCGGGGGGCTTCCTCCCCTTCCGAGGGTGGCTGAGGTCCACATCTGCACCTCACAGAAGGAACAGGGTCCCTGTCTTAGAGCCTCACCCTCCAGGTGGGCTCCAGAACCAGGAGCCCTTGAGGAAGGTGGGCCAGGTCTCTGCCCTTTGGCACTTGGGATCCGAGTTCTAGGGTGTTACTCGGGGCTCTCTAAACACACCGGCGGCCCCAAGTTATCTGGGAGTCTGGGACCTGCACACCTTTGGGGAAGCCGTCCAGGATGGGCTGCAGCCGGCTGTACCGCTCCAAGTTGTAGTCCTTGAAGAGAACCCTCCAGAAGTCCAGGATGGCCCCGGTGTCCTGAGTCAGGAGCCAGGACAGCAGAGCATGGAAGGCCTGGGGGCAGCCCTCCTTCTCCTTCAGCCTCAGCGTCTCCTGCAGCGACAGCACAGGGCTGCCTGCTCACACCCCACCTCCAGCCCCGGCTGCCTCCCTGGGCCCTGGGGAGTGAAGGCGCGCGGGGTGATCAGGGTGTGAGGTCGGGGGGCTCCCCTCAAACTTGGCCTGGGGACGTACCCCGGGGATGGCATGGAGGGCTGGCGTCTGCAGAGGGTGGGGGGCTCCACTCGGGACCACGGTCAGGGACCCAGGCCCTGGCTCGGAGGGAGAGGAGGGAGGAGGCTGGGAGGCGCTGGAGGTCCGGGGCCCACCTGGAACTTGTCCTCGGGGACCACGTCGTAGTCGGCCAGAGCGTGCAGCAGCGGGAAGGCACTGTCCACGGCCACCGCAATCTCCGTGCGGTGCAGCCTCAGCAGGCGGCGCAGCATCCCGTCCGCACAGGCCATGAGCTCGGCGAGCCGCCGGCGGCGCCCCCTGCCGGCCGCACACTGGCTTCCCCGCTCCCGGCCTTGAGGCCGAGCCTGTCGCTGGTTTAATCTCAGGGTGTCCGGGCTGTGCCCAGGGAGGCACCCGCGAGCATCCCTTCTCGCCGGCTGACTTTCACCCTCACTCATCGGCTCTGATATACTCCCAACCAGGAAAGAGCAGAGGCTGCTGGTTCACTGAGGACCAATCAGGGCCCAGCTTCTCCTGGGAGCAGAGGCTGCCCTGCGGGCTGGGTACAGAAGGCTCTAACTGTGCCAGCCTCCCTTTCCTATAGACACCAGAGTTGCTGCCCTGGTCTCCCCACAGAGGGTACTGTAAGCCAGGACGGGCTAGGAAGATGACTCAGTGGGCAAAGTGTCTCCCCGACCTTAACGCCCCCTTTTAAAAAAAAAAGAAAGCTGCAGTTGCACACACCTCAATCCCACGGCTGAGGCGGCAGACGCCAAGAAATCCCTGGAGCTCACTGGCCAGCCAGCCTGCTGAATCAATGAGACACTGTGCCTGAAAAACTAAGGTGCCGCTGGGCGTGGTGGCGCGCACCTTTAATCCCAGCACTCGGGAGGCAGAGGCAGGTGGCTCTCTGTGAGTTCAAGGCCAGTTTGGGCTACATAGCGAGTTCCAGGCCAGCTGGGACTACAGGGAGACCCTGTCTCAAAAAAAAAAAAAAAAGAACTTTAAAATTTTTATGTGTAAGATGTTCTGTAATGTGTAATGTGTATGTGTGTTTTGTAACTTGTAATGTGTATGATGTATTTTATTTTATGTGTATGATGCATGTATGTATGTTCACACGTGTCGGGAAATGCCCTTGGAGGTCAGAAGACATTGTCAGATGCCCTGGAACTGGAGTCATGGGCAGTTGTTAACTGCCATGTGGGTGCTGGAAACTCAACCCCGGTCCTCCACAAGAGCAGCCAGCAAGTCTTAACCGCTGATCCATCTCTCCAGCCCCATACAACGAATTTTTAATAAAAAAGAAAGAAAGAAAGAAAGAAAGAAAGAAAGAAAAGAGCCATCCAGGATGGAATTGCATGGCCACACACACCTCTGCTGTCCAGATGTGCTGGCACCTCCGAGTAGCCACACTAAGAAATCTCTGCAAAGGGCTAGACTAGGGATCGTCCCACCTGACTGTCCCAGCCCCAGGGCTAGAGGAGCAGTAAGATGGAGCGCTCCAGTAGGACAGAGGAGACGGTCCATCCCATGTGCTGGAGGGCGGGCACCACTCTGGGCATGGATCACAGGGCTTCTGAGCTTGCTCTCCTTGCCTGCACGTTGTTCAGAACATCCTGTCCTCTGAACCTCGGTCCCCTCATGTCTATAGCGAGCACATTAAATGGGAGCCTGTGAGGTAGAGTACAACAGGAAGGGGCAAGAAGGCGTGGGGGCCCCTGGGCAGACCTAGACTGCACAAGCTCCTCTCATAGTCCACAGAGCCTTCTCAGGATTTGAGACAGAGACCGGGGCAGGGCAACCTGAAGGATGGGAGCTCCAAGGAAATCAGGGAGGTGTCCTGCAGGGCAGCTGGAGAGGGAAGCAGCGGTCTCAGGTAAACATGAGTGGACATGGTGTCCCCAGCAAGGTGCAAGCAGGAGCAAGGCCTGGGGCCTCCAGTTGGAGATGGCCCTAGAGGTGGGAAGATTTCTGATAGAAGTGCAGTGGTCAGGCCTGTGCAGAGCCCTGGCCACCGTGAGAGATGATAGACAAGTGGGTTCAAATGTAAGGAGGACCGGTTAGGGCAGCCCTAGGCTGGGGCTCTGTGGTACAGGGGAGGAGAAGCCAGGGTGGACAGGTGACTGATTTGGAGAATGGTGTCACCCTGCATTCTCACAAGGAAGGCCTTGGGGAAATCTGGGTTCAGGAAGCCATGTGTGGCCACTCCTAACCTGGACCTCTGTTGGGTTCTCCTCCTGCCTCTTAACCCAGGGTCCCCCTGAGAGTTCTGTGCATTCTAAGATCACTCTCCAGCAGGTGTCTAGGGGCGTTTGGGAGCCAGACAGGAAAGCGTGTACATGTGTGTGTGTGTGTGTGTGTGTGTGTGTGTGTGTGTGTGCATGTTAGATCAGGGATGCAAGTGGCTGAGGTGGTCAGGATGAGGCTTAGGTGCTGGGGAAAAAGGGGGGAGCTGAGTGGGGAATGGGTTGTCCCCTCAGAGCCAGGGTTTGTGTGTGTGGTTAGGAGACACAGAGGTGGAGACTATTCTAAAGGCTGTGTGTTGGGATCAGGGCCCTCGCACTTTCTTACTGTCAGTAAGCTCCAAGCCACGGCCACAGTGCCATGGGAAGTGGCCACAGAAAGCGTGGCACCTGAACTGTACCTTCTACAGATACTGAGGGAAAGCCTTGGGTGATACCAAGGTGGGCTGCCCCCTGAGAGGCACATCTGGTTTCCAACCCAGTGGGGCTGCTGCCCACTGGCCTCTTCTGCCACCTCCTCCACGTGCGTATTTATTGTAGAAGCACGGAACCATCAGTCACTTTTAAACCCAGCACTGAACGTGACTTCTACTGTCCAGAACTTGCCGAGTCACCTCACTGGCATGGTAGAGGAGATGCAGGCCCCAGGCCCTACACCTGCTCACACCTTGCCAGGATCTCACAAACACAAAGGGCACTGATGGATCCCTTGGGCCTGTGGGCTCCAGAATCCACACATCATTCACCCAAGATGCCAGAGACAGTGATGGTGACTCCTTGGCAGCTCAGCTTTGCCCCTCTCCTTGAAGAACCACAGTCCTCCTAAAGTCAATCCTGCAACTTGGGGGGGCTTCCCCCCAGGTGGGGGCTTCTTCCCCTACAGGGGGTTCCTCTGCTGGAGGTAAAGGCCAAAGCAGAACTAAAAACTACACCACAAGACCAACGCCTGCAATTTGCTTTCTTAAAAGCCTGAGCCTGTCACAGCGCACCTGCCCCTGGCTGGGTCCTGACCGCTGCGGGCAAGCGTCACCCAGCCTCTTATTCGAGAGGCTCCTGTAGAGTTTTGGACTTTCCGTCACACGTGGGGTTTTCCACGAAAGTCCACACCCGCGCAGGTGGTCTGGAGCTGTTGAGCTGAGGGGAGGTGGCCTGGGTGACCCATATGCAGCCCTGCTTCCTGTTGGATGAGTGGATGAGTGCTTGTATCGAGCTAAGTCCCAGGTCTGTTGTGGCCTGGACATGTGGGTGGCATCCATGAGCCTCCGTGTTCTCACCCTGGAGGGGATGACCACAGCATGGTGTCTGGCCCAGGCACCCACTCCATCCTGCTGAGGTACAGACAGCGAACGAGAAGGCGACCTGGGTCCGGGCTGGAAGGGGTTACGAGAGAGTGAGTGGACAGAAAGTACCGAAGCATTCCTCAGCGGAGGTGGGTGGCTGCCAGATGCCTGTAATGTGGCTACTGGCTGGGCTTCTGCCTCAGGCCTGCCAGATCTGGATACTATGTATGGTCTGAACCTTAACAACGCTCATGTATTAATTTTAACTTAAAATACGCCATGTGGGGATGGAGAGACGGCTCAGTGGTTAAGAGCACTGACTGTTCTTACAGTGGACCCAGGGTTCGATTCCCCACTCCCACATGATGGCTAACAACTATCATTAGCCCCAGTTCCAGGGGATCCAATGCCCTCTTCTGACCTCCATGGGCATTGCACGACATGGGTGTACTTAAACACATATAGGCAATACACTTGTATACATAAATAAAAATAATAAATATAATATTTAAAATAAATAATAAAATAAAATAGGCAATATAGTAGTAACTATTCATAATACCAGTCAAAATATCAAGGATCCAGGAAAAAAAAAGATAAAAAGAGGTCTTCAGCCAGGCATGGGGGCAGATGCCTTTAGTCCCAGCACTTGGGAGGCAGAGGCAGGCAGATCTCTGTGAGTTCAAGGCCAGTCTGGTCTACAAGTAAGTTCTAGGACAGCTGGAGCTACAGGGAAACCCTGTCTCAAAAAGACCAAAAAAAAAAAAAAAAAAAAAAAAAAAAAAAGAGGTCTTCAGTGCAGCCCTAGCTAGCCTGGAATTCATTATGTAGACCAGGCTGGCCTGGAACTCAGTATGTAGCCAAGGACAACCTTGAACTTCTGATCCTCCCGCCTGCACTTCCTGAGTGCTGGGATGGGCAGGCATGTATTACTGTGCCTGTTTCACTTGGTGCTGAGGGGGTGTCAAACTCAGGGCATGCAGCATCCTGGGTAAGCACTCTACCAACTAAGCTACAGCCCCAGTCCTGTTGTAGTTTGAGGTAGATTCTGTATAGTGCAAGGTAGCATTGAGCTAACTCCTGGGCTCCACTGAGGTCCCAGCCTCAGCCTCCCAAGTAGTTGGACAAGTGGTTACCTCAGAGCCTGGCTGAGAACTCACATTTTCTTTTTTTAAAAAATATTTTATTTATTTTTTATGTATATGCACATATTGCCTGCAAGTAGGTAAGTGCACCCGTGTCATGCAATGCCCTCGGAGGACAGAAGAGGCTGTGGGATCCCCTAGAACTGGAGTTAAAGACAGTTGTTAGCTGCCATGTGGGTGCTGGGATTCCAACCCGGGTCTTCTGCAAGAACAGCCGGTGTTCTTAACCGCTGAGCCATCTCTCTCCAGCCCCAAGACAGAACTCACATTTTCAAAAGAAAGTGGAAAGATATACATTACTGGATTTAGCTTATTTAAAATTCACATTTCTTAACCTAGAAATAGAATAGAATTCAAATAAAATTAGCATAGAATTTTAAAAAATTATATGTGTGTAGGTCAAAGGACAACTTGTAGGGGTCAGTTCTCTCCACCACATGATTTCTGGGGATTGAATGTGGATTATCAGACTCTGTTCATTTTTTTAGAACTTGGTTCTGTTTCTTCAGAAAGAGAAGGATCAAGAAGGGAGACAGCCTTGAAGACTGCAGTGACCGGTGTGATGCCACAGAATTCTCTACGGGCTCTCCAGACCTGGTGAGCAGCTTGGAAAACTAGTTCAGCAGGAAGACATAAATAAAAGGTTCTAAATGAAGCTGAGACCATGGTATATACTGGAATCCCAGCCCTAGGGAGGCTGAGGCACGAGCATCGTGAATTCAAGGTTATACAGCAAGACTCTGCCTAAAAATAAAAAATGTGAGCGGGCTCAGCAGGTGAAAGTGCTTGCTGTACAAGTCTGGCCACCTGAGTGTCATCCCGGGAACCCATGTAAAGGTGGAAGGAGAAACCCACTCCATAAAGTTGTCCTCTGGTTTCTACATGTATGTCATGGCACTCACACACAAGTAAATGTAACATAACTTTTTAAATGTATTTTTATTGTTTTATGTGTGTATGAGTGCTTTGCCTGCATGTAAATGCACCACAGGCTGTAATGCCTCCAGAGAACAGATTGTTAGCTGCCATGTGAGTGCTGAGAACTGAATCTGAGTCCTCTACAAGAACAGCCAGTGCTCTTAACCAACTCTCCAGCCCCAATTTAAAAAAAAAAAAAAAAATTAAGAGAATAGCAATAGAGTTGACTTAATGCAAAACATCTCGGCATAAAATATGATAAACATTAAAGTGCATTAATAATGCTGGTGTGTGATCCCAGGACCCAGGGGCAGAGGCAGGAGAACTCCGTGAGTTTGAGGTCAGCTTGTGCTGCATAGTGAGTTCCAGGACAGCTTGGGCTACAGAGTGAGACCCTGCCTCAAAAAACAAAATAGTGGTGCATGCAGCCAGGCATGGTAGTGCACGCCTTTAACCCCAGCACTTGGGAGGCAGAGGTAGATGAACTCTGTGAGTTCAAGGCCGGCCAATTTATATATATATGCGCATACCTGTAATCCCAGAACTTTGGAGGCAGGGGCAGGCAAATCTCTATGAGTTCAAGGCCACAGGAAGACCCTGTCTCAAAAAACAAAACAAACAAAAACTCCCAAACCCAAAACAAAATAATAAATAAAATTAGAAACATTAATAAGCGGGCCTAGAGAGATGGCTCAGCAGTTAAGAACACTGGTTGTTCTTGCAGAAGACCCAGGTTGGAATCCCAGCACCCACATGGCAACTACAACTGTCAGTAACTCCAGTTCCAGGGAATCTGACAGCCTCTTAACTACATGCAGGCAATACACACATACACATAAAATAAAAATAATAAATAAAATTTTTAAAAAATTAATAAGCTGAAAAAACACTTGTGGTGTGTACGTGAAAGTATGTGTTCATATCTTTAACAAAAAGGACCTTCAAATCAATAAGAAAAAACAAACGTCTGTTAAAAAAATGAAACCGAGTAAAGCTAGGCATGGGCTTTACATGCCTTTAATCCCAACACTTGGAGACTGAGGCAGGTAGATCTCTAGATCTCTGTGAGTTCAAGGCCAGTCTGGTCTACTTAGCGAGTTCCAGGTCGTCAGGGGCTACCGGGAGACTCAGTCTTAAAAAAGCCAAAAGAAAGAAAGAAAGAGAGAGAGAGAGAGAGAGAGAGAGAGAGAGAGACAGGGCTGGGGTGCAGCTCAGTTGGTAGAGAGCGCGTTTCATATTCATGAGGCCAGTGGCTTCCATTCCCAGCACTGCATAAACCGGTGTGGTGAGGTGATGTGTGTTTGTAATTCCAGCACTCCAGGTGGAGGAAGGAGAATCAGGTAAAGGTCAGCCTGGGATTCCCTGAGACTCTATCAAGAAAAGAAAAAACAAAAAGAAAAGAAAGGGTGAGAGGAGACCAACTTAGTTGTGGTTTTTCCACAGCTCATGGCTACGGGTTGGAGTCCAGCCCTGGTTCCACTTCATGACTTTGTTGAAGACTGAACTAAGGAACTATATATCCTGTGCCGGCTTCATACACAGGGTTCATCAATGTGTTGTAAAAGGGGGTGTCCTGCCAGGTGTGGGGAGCATGGCAGGTCCCTCGGCTGGTGGTTGGGCAGATGTGCTGTGGCTGAGGCTCCCAGTCCTTAACACTAAGATACAGACCAGGAGCCTGTCTGTTCCCAGCAATCCAACCAGAAGAGAGGGATGTCTGGTCACCCCTGTGGGTGGCCCTGTGCCCTGCTCTTGTGAACACTCCTGCAAGACAGCTGCCAGCCTTTGAAGGTGGACAGCCAGTCCTCATCCTGTGGTACTGTATGTCCTTGCCCAACCCAGGACCCTCTTCCTACCCCCTACCCCCCTCAGTACCCTTTGCAATTCTCACTCCAGACCTTGCTTCCTTGTCCACCCCATGTCCCCTCCACCCAATCCTGAACCCTACTTCCCAGCTCCCTAACCCTAAAATGCAGAGGCCTAGTGCCTCCCCTCCCCCACCTCCACCTCTTTGCACCCCTGAGCCCTATTCCAGTATACTCACTGAGCCCTGCCTCAGAACTCTCTCCCCCTCCCCCACCCCTGCTCGGAACCCCTCTCCCACTCAAGGGCCTCCCTAAGCCTGTCCAGCCCCGCCCAACCCTGACCCACCCCCATTCCAGCCCTGAATCCTCCTCCCACGCTCTAGACTCCTGAAGCCCGGCCCCTGAAAGCCTGCCCACACCCTCACCCCTACTCTGCCCCTGGCCGCTCACAGGCTCCAGCACTGAACTTTTAACTCTACTTGCCTTAAGGTCTCCCGTTCCCCTCCCCGTTTCTTCTTCCCCCCTCATTCCCCACCTGGCCCCAAGTACCCCTACCTGAGCGGCTTACATCTCCCTCCCATCATCCCTCACTGCTCTGCAGGTCCTGCCCTACCACATCCCTGTCTATCAAAAGGACCCTGCTGCCGGACCTCTAGAGCTCTGCAGCCATCCACCCTCCCCGGGTCTCGGATTCTTCTGCCAAACAGCACCCATGGGTTCCTGGGAGGCACTGTCCTCTTGTTCCAAGGCCCTCTCCTCCCCTGGAACATGGAACTTGGAGACTCCAGACAACTCGAGCCCTGACCCAGCCGGCCACCTGGAAGAACAGAAGCCCTGTGAGATCCCTCAGGCCCTCTCTCCTTTTATTCCTTCACTGCCTCCTGGTTCAGGGGGTCCTTGGTTAGGGCCTGGGAGACACTGGGAGGCAAAAGCCTGAGTCTCCGAAGGATCTAAAGGCAGGTGCCGAGGGAGCATGGCTGGCTGCGGTGGATGCTGGTCCCTTGGTTGGTCATGAGGAAGTGGCCCACCGGACTCCATCCACATGGTGGCTGGGGCTGGGTGGGTGAAGGAGCATGCCACAGGGCACCCTTCCCACAAGCACCTCAAAGCTGGTGCTGGCTGCAGTTTTTAGCTCTAATCCCCAGATAAGTGGGCAGGTGTCACTTTGAGGGGGCTTGGGTGGACAGACTGGTGGTTCCCCTGACCTCGGTACTGACCATGGATGGTGGACTGTTTTCCTGCATGTATCCTGTGTATTTTCCCCATGGTGACAGCACCTCCACCTCTGAAGGCCGAGAACAACATGGATGTAGTACTGGTGGACTCCAGGGAGCTGCTGTGCCCCACTTCACCCCCTCCAGGTAGAGGTGAGTTCTCACCCTCATCACTGACCCCAGGCCCAGGCAATGTGTGGAATAGTCCTATGTCATTCAGATCCCTGGGCAGGGCCAGGTGTGCAGTGCATGTGTGTGTGTGTGGAGGGGTGTCCTCTGGTCCCTGTCACCTCACGCCTGCCATGCGTGCTCCAGCAAGGAGACCAAGACCTCACTCACTTTCTCCTCCAGATCGCATCGCCTATGAAGTGACCGTCAACCACCGGAACATAGAAGGTGTGTTTGCGTGCTTGCCTGTGACTGGGCCAAATGGAGTGTCAGTCAGTCCAGAAAGGCTTGCTTGCTTCAGCCTCAGGTGGCCATCCCAGAAGGCCAGGGGCAGATCCTGGCACCCGCAAGATCCCCCTCTCCCTCACCTGTGCCCCAGCAACTTAATTTGAGGTGCATGGTTGAAAGTTTTTAGAATATTTACATCAGCCCTCACCCCAGTCTAACTTGAGAACATTTTCATCATTTGAAAAAAAACAAAAAAAAAACTTGGGCTAGGGATCTAACTCGGTAGAGTGTTTGACGGGCATGCAGAACCCTCTGGGGTCAATCCCTAGCACCTCATAAACTGGGTATGGTGACACGTACCTGTAAATCCAGTACTCAGGAGAGGAAGGCAGGAGAAGCAGAAGTTCAAAGTCATCTTTGGGTTACACAGTGAATTTGAAGCCCTCTAGGGACATATGTGATGCTGTCGTGTGACCCTGTTGGAAACGGAAAAGAGAAGAAAAGAGAACCTTGTAGCCACTAATAGTCACTCCAGAGCCCCTTCTCCAATGGTCACTTTCTTCTCTGTAGTCTTTGGATAGGATCAGCTGGCCGGGTATGCAGAAAGCCAGCAGGGCTTTTGAGACGGTCTGTCGCTCTTTGGAAAGCCTTGTTTTCCCGTTAAGTCTTCAGATCTGTGATCAGAGGACATTCTCCCTAGGTTCCCTGGCTTCTTTTAGCCGTACAGTTATCAGGGCCCCAGCCTTAAGCTGCCTTTAACCCCTCTCTGGCCTTTCCCTCTGAGGATGAAGACTTCCGTATGTTCTCTTTAGAGCTCTGCCTGTGCTGTGGAAGTCTCCAGGTGTACACACAGCACCCCCTGTTCCAGGGAGGAATGTGTGCCCCATGTAAGGTAAGCAGGGAGGCAAGTAGGACTTCTGGAGCCCACAGGAGGAAATCTCACACAGCTACCTTTACTTCCGGCACAGGACAAATTCTTGGAGACCCTCTTCCTGTATGACGATGACGGGTATCAGTGTTCCTGCTCCATCTGCTGCTCGGGGGACACGCTGTTCATCTGCGAGAGTCCAGACTGTACCCGGTGAGCCTGTGCCATCTTCCTGCTGCCCCTCCTGGGGTACAGGACGGGGCTCCTCCCATCTTTCCCAGTCTTTCCTTCCCATGGCACAGAGCCCTGGCTTGGGAAGCAGGTGATAATAGACTTCTACCTACGATGTCTCTCTTCAGCCAAGACGCCACAGTAGAGGGGTGGGTGGCTGCACTCCACCCCAGGGCTGTAGGTCGTAACAGACATGGCCCTGGTACAGGGGACACATTCACCCTCAGTCACCATCCTGAGCTCTGTAGTGATCCACAGCCCTCTGTCCTTCTGGCCATCTCTGTGTTGACAGTCACACGCCCTAGTGGCCCCTTCCTGACTTGCTGCCCCTGTATGTGGTTTTGCCCAGAGCTCTTTTTTTTTTAAATTTTTCTTTATTAGTTTTATGTGAATGTATTGCTTGCATGTGGGTAGGTGCACTCGGGTAGTACAATGCCTGCAGAGGTCAGAAGAGGGTGTCAGACCCCCTGGAACTAGAATTACAGACAGTTGTTAGCTGCCATATGAGTGCTAGGAATAGAACCCAGGTCCTCTGCAAGAGCACCCAGTGCTCTTAACCACCGAGCCATCTGTCCAGCCCCCATTGCCCAGGGCTCTTAAACTGTTTGTAGGCTCTGGAGTCGGGCTGTCATTGCCCTTAGACCCACCATAATTACATCTGCTGCTGAGTCCCCTTCCCAGCCTGCAGCCTCGCCTCGCCTCATCCCCCAGCAGAGAGAGCAGAGCTACTAATCCCTACCAAGCAAGGCTGATAGTTCCCTCCAGAGAAGTGCCAGCTGCCTTGCTGGCCTAACCTGGTCCCGTGGTGGCAGAGTCACTTGGCTTACTGTGGTTTTTGGTTTGGCTCTAGGTGCTACTGTTTTGAGTGTGTGGATGTCCTGGTGGGCCCTGGGACCTCAGAGCGAATCCACGCCATGAACTGCTGGGTGTGCTTCCTGTGCCTGCCTTTCTCTCAAAGCGGGCTGCTCCTGAGGCGGAGGAAGTGGCGCCACCGGCTGAAGGCCTTCTATGACCTCGAGGCGGTAAGGAGCTCCAGCTAAGGGTGGACCTGCCCACTGCATACTGGTCACTGGCTGTGGAATGTCCACACGCTCCACCACAGAATGAGGCCGAGCTTTGGTCATTTTATTTTGTTTTGTTGTGATGGGGTCTCTCGTTGTTTAGGCTGGCCTTAAACTCATAATGTAGCTGAGGATGGTCTTGAACTCTTGATCCTCTTACTGACTCCAATTTGGGATTGCAGGCACCCTGTTTATAATGACTGAACCCCAAGGCCTTGTGCATGCTATGCAAGCACTTTACCAACTGAGCTCCATGACTAGTCATCATTTTGCCTCTTAAAAACCTAGGAGTGAATGCTGGTCACAAGGAGGACGGGCCTCTAAGTCCAACGTGTTAGCTCCAGTCCTTGACCAACACTGGTATCTCCTTGTATAACCACAATGGCCTAGATGCTGGACTTCTGAAGGGTGGTGCCCAAAACTGGTAAACTAGGCAGGAATTGTGAGCTCATCAAAGGTGCAGGGGCTAAACTGCGCCTCCCCAGGACATTTGTCAAGGTTGGAAACTAGGGATCTGTAAACACAGTTGATTTGAAACTGGGGTCTTTGTGGCTGTAACTTTGAGTTTGAGATGAAAGTAGTCTGGATGGAGGTGGGTGCTCTGTCAAGTGGAGGGTGTCCTTGCAGGAGAGGAAAGGATTTGGGGGGTGGAGACATTCAAGAAGGCCATGTGATGTATGTAGGAGATCTGGAACAAACATGTATGTAGGAGATCTGGAACAAATCCCCTGGTGCCTCAGAGGCAGCGAGCGAGCCCCACTGTTCCCTGACTTCAGACTTCGGGCTGCTGGACTGTGAGTGTTAGCTCCCCTGAAAGAAGTCTTGGAACCTAAGATCTACAGAGCTGTTCTGTGCTAGGATCCATTAGCCTCTAACTTCAGAGAACCTCACACCCTGTTTCCCTTTGTAGAGATGTGGGGGTCAGGGAGACTCAGACCTGGGGAGTGGGTGGAGTCGGCCTTCACGGAGGGGATGGGCAGTGCTGGTTGGTTTGGCAGGTGAGTCTCAGTTGAATCCCGTTCATCCAGGGAAAGAACAGCGTAGAGACCACTACCTGTAACTCATGGGCCCTCACCGACTGGCCAGCTCACATCGTCTTTTGTATTTTTTCTCTTCTTTTTCCTTCTTTCTTTTCCTTCCTAGGCAAGCCCTCTGGAAATGTACAAAACAGTGCCTGTGTGGAAGAGAGAGGCAGTGCGGGTGCTGACCCTTTTTGAAGACATTCAGAAAGGTGAAGGAAGGCGGGGAGAGAAGAAAGGAGGGGCCCAGAGTGTCATTGCTGTCCCTGCCTGGCCTTCTGTCTTTGAATTTCTGGGATTCTGGGGGTGGGGGGAGCTAAGAGGACTGAGGGTTTTGGAAAAGGGCCTGATGGCCAGAGAAATCTCCCACCTGTGCCAAAGCAGGAGCGATGTCGGAAGGGGGATCCTAGGTAGGGACCCTGCTCCCAGGAGAAGGCAGGGTTGGGGGGAGGGGCTAGAAATCAAGCTCCCAGTGAGGAGGTGGGGTAACTGTCATCCCCTTCCCCCCACACATACCTGCCCCATACCCTCCCTGCTTCCGGGCACCCTCTTTCTGTACCTCAATCTCCCAGCTTGGTCACGCCCCCCACCACCAGGGGTCCTGCTCTGCACAAACAGAGCCTTAAAGTGCTCTGGTCTCTGACTGAACCGCATCCCACTTTGAACCAGGCGATGTTCAGTGACCACAAGGGCCTCATGCGTCACTAGGATCACTTGGCCAGGCTCTTGCTCTTAGAGTCTGAAGGAGCATGGCCTGTTCTGAAGGTCACTAGCCAGGCGGGATGACACCAGTGTGGACACTACAGACCCACTGGTTCCTAAGCTAGTGAGTGACAACAAAACCCATAAATGCCATTTTGCGACAAATTGCTTGATTTTCATAAATCACTCAGGAAGTTTGCTTGTTCAGCTAAATAGGGGATAAAGCCTTGGGGCTCTGTCACTCTTAATGATGAAGCTGCTGGCTTGGTGACAGGAAGTCCATGCTCTCAGGGAGCCCGACTCTCCTAGGGACAAAGTCCACCTCCATCCCTCTGTCTGCCCTTCTTGTCCCCCTACAGAACTAAGGAGCTTAGGCTTTTTGGAAAGTGGTTCCGGTTCTGAGAGAGGAAGACTGAAACACTTGGATGATGTCACAAACGTAGTGCGAAGAGATGTGAGTGGAGGAAGGGAGGGGTGCTCCTGGAGGCCTTGTGTGCCTGTGGGGTATTCTAGGAGACCCCAGGGGGAAGGGAAACCAGGGAGGAAGAATGGGAGGAAGGGAGCCCAGGAGGGGACCGGAGGAGCCTCCAGGATGCAGGCATTGAGGGGGAAAGAGGATGCATTTCCCGGGGGAGGGGTGGCAGTTCTACAGGCCAGCATGGGGTTCTGGGTCTGGCTGGAGCCAGCCTTTTAGATAGAGATGGGGGTGGCAAGCTCCCTGATCCCACCTGTGCATAGCCCCCAGCAGGGCAAGCAGCTGGATATTCTGAAATCCACATGGCTCATTTCAACTTCCTAAGATAGGGTAGTGGGGGAGAGTGTGGAGGGGCTCTGCCCCACTCCACCCTCTCAAAGTTGCAGTTCTTAAGCTGGGCAGCTGCTGGTTGCTTGAAAAATCCTAGAGTTTGGCTGCTGCCTTGTCCCTGTAGGGGAACCGCTCTTCCTCTCCAAAGGGGCTATGGAAAGGGGGAGGGAGGGACAGTTGCTAGCAGTTGCCAATGTTTATTCGGGCGAGAGCGGGGGTCTTAGATCCAGCACCCTGCCCCCTTCCTCTGGCAGGAACCTGAGCAGCACACCTTGGGCATATGGAGTTGGGGGCTAGTTCAGGAGTATGCTGAGAAAGTGGGGGAAGCCCACTCAGGAACTTGTTCTTAAGAGAATGCTCAGGGCTAGAGTGTCCATTGGTGAAGTAGAGGTTCTCCGGGCTCTGTAGAGGGGCCTTCGACCACTTGTGTAGACAGAAGGGTCCTTGACTGCCTGCTCAGACTGGGTGGGGACTGGCTGTTTGTCTCATCTCTTCCCCCTTAGCCGGAAAGCGACCCCATCTGGTATTAAGTGGGAATTATTTATGGCTGTCAGGGAATGTCCACCTTGCCATCTACCCCCAGCCGTCAGCTTTCAGCATGACTGCTTCCAGAGGACACACAGAATCCTGTAGGCCCCTTATGGGCAACAGTTATCCAGGAAAAATCTCAAGGTTTGGGGTCTTCTTGGACCACCACTTCTTGGACCCTGGTTTTGGGGACTCCGCCTGAGTCACCCACATGGTACATCACTGGGTGCAGAGGCCTTAATGCTGGCCATTTGGCTCTGAGCCACCACCTCCCAATAAAATAACCCTGTGTGTATCCCCTAGGTGGAGGGATGGGGCCCCTTTGACCTTGTGTATGGCTCAACACAGCCCCTGGGCTATTCCTGCAACCGTTGTCCTGGTAAGTTTGGAGAAATGGGCTGTGGTCTGTTACCAGGGAAACCCTGTCTGCAGCCCTGTTCCCTTTCCTGTCTCCTCATCCCCTTGTACCACGGCAGCTCCTCAAGCTGGGCAAAAAGCACACATGCTGCATTTTAAAACCAGCTTCCGGGGCTGGAGAGATGGCTCAGCAGTTAAAAACACTGGTGGTTCTTACAGAAGACCTAGGAATCCCAGGAATCCCAGCATCCACAAGGCAGCTAACAACTCTCCATAACTCCAGTCCCAGGGGAGCCAACACCCTCTTCTGACCTCCTTGGACATTGCACGACATGGGTGCACGCACATACATGCAGGCAATAGACGCATACACATAAAATTTAAAAATAAAATTTAAAAAAGCTGGGTATGGTGGTACACACCTTTAATCCCAGCACTTGGGAGGCAGAGGCAGGTGGATCTTTGTGAATTCGAGGCCAGCCTGGTCTACATAGTGAGTTCCAAGCCAGCTGGGGCTACAAGGAGACCCTGTCTCAAAAAGACAAAAAAAAAAAACCCAGCTTCCTTGGGTTGTAACTCACATACAAGATTGTGCAGTGTTCAGTGTGTACTTGGGTGCGTTCTGGACTAAGTGGACAAGTGTGTTCCTGTCACAGTGGGAGAGCAGAGGCACCTAGTACCTGCAAAGGTATCGTCTCATCCCTCTCTAGTGCTCCCCTTGAAGCCCTCGCCATCTAAACTGACCCTCTCCCTCCTTTGTGGTAGGCTGGTATCTGTTCCAGTTTCACCGGATCCTGCAGTATGCACGGTCACACCGGGGCAGCCAGCAACCCTTTTTCTGGATGTTTGTGGACAACTTGCTGCTGACTGAGGCTGACCAGGCCACAGCAGCCCGCTTCCTTGAGGTCTGTGGCCTGGTGTATGTCTGGGGAGGGATCAGTCTGCACTCGGCTCTGGGGTTCCCATTCCTGAGGCCTCCACTGCCTCAAGGCCATGAGGACACCAGGCACCCAAGACCAGATTTTTCAGGACACTGGTCCCTTCAGGTATAGCCTTGAAGGGTGACCTGACTTCATACACTCCTATACACTCAGGTCACAGTCACCTGCAGCCATGTCCTCCTCCTGCCCTCAGCTCTCAGCCTGCACGTGAGCACAGACACACAGCACACAGCATACACATTCCATACAAGCTCACGCCACATGCCATCATACATGCACTCATACCATGCACCCACACGTGTGTGTGCTCATCTGAGCAGCCTTTCTGTTCTTCCCTCTCACCTGAACCCTGATCAACAGTGCAGCCACCCGGGACCCAGCGGCTGTGTTTGGGCCCTCCAGGGCTGATTTGGGTCAGTGTGTCATAGATGTCCGTGGTGGGTGAGGCCAGCTCCTCCTTCCTCCCTCCCTCCCTCCCTCCCTCCCTCCTCTCTTCTTCCTTCCACTTAAAAAAAAAACTTTATTTGCTATATTTATTTTATGTGTACGATTGTACCATCCGCATGTATGTAAGTGCACCCGTGTTGTGCAGGGTCTGCAGAGGTCAGAAGGCTTTGAGTCCCCTCGGAGTTAGACGGTTGTCAGCGGCCATGTGGGTGCTGGGATTTAAACCCAGGTCCTCTGCAAGAGCAGCTAGTGCTCTTAACCACTGCACCATCCATCTCTCCAGCCCCTACTTTCTTTGTGGTTAAATAAGAAAAAAGAAGTTCTGTGCAAGCTTAGGAGGTGTGGCCAGCCTAGGTGGTGACCGTGTGCTTCATGGGGAGGAGATTGAGTCTGTGTCATACTGACCCACTGCCCTACAGATGGAGCCCATGACCCTCCAGGACATCCGAGGCAGAGTCCTGCAGAACGCGGTTCACGTGTGGAGCAACATCCCAGGGGTGAAGAGGTATCTACTCGGGTCGGGGGTCATTAAAGACTCAGGGGCAGAGTTAATGGGGCTTTCTGGTAGAGCCAGGCCTGCACAGTCTGTGCCCCATCTGGTTGTACCTGGTCAATCTTCAGGCCAGCACAACCATGGACTCAGGGTACCCCTGTGCATTATGGGACACTCCCCTATGCTCACCCCAGTGACACTGGTCTTGCCCAGGATTAGACAAGGCTTCCCTCATCCTGAGGAGAAACTCCAAACTTCTGTCAGGGCCACAGGCCTCAATCTCAGAACTATGCAAGGGGTTACTCTCAGCCTCCTGAAGCCCCCACCCCACACAGTCATGCTCACTGTTCACACACTGACACTCATCCATTCATACACCTGCATACATTCTAAAACCCACCTGCTCAAAGACATGCATGTGGCTTGACCAGCTTGGACTGTGTCTCCTGAGATTGCTAAACCATGTATGTTCCTGTCCCCAAGTAAGCTTCTGGAAACTTCTTCCCACTCACCTCCTGCATTCCAGCAGTCTCCTGGTGCCCAGCCACTGTGGCTGTCTGCCACATAGCACCAGTTCCTTTACCTGGCTGCTTCCAGGACTTGGGCTGAGGTGGAGCAGAGGCGAAGCACTTTCTCAAACATCTTTAGAAGTGTCTAAGCCCTGTCTCCTTGCCTGTAGCCCTCCCCGTGCCTGCCCTGGGCAATGGTCCTGTAGACACTGTGGACTGGCAGAGTGGGGAAAAAAAGGCATGAATTATACTCCCTACCAAAGGCCAGGCTCCACTCCTGACAGCTACAGGCCTGGCAGGTGCCGTCACACACAGGCCATCTAGTCAGCGGCAGGAAAACATGCTTCCGAAGGAACCTGGCACGGCCCAGCCCATCCTGGTACGTGTGGCTGTGTAAGAGGGACCACCCTCCTCCTGGGCCCCAGCCCCACTTTCTTTCTGATTGAGGTGCCCACAGCCCGTTAGGTCTCCCAGAGGTGTTAGGTCTCAGAACACCTGCACCCAATGCCTGGGGTGACCTGGCTCTCGGAGGGGGCTAGAGGCTGTTTGCCCGCCAGGCTCAGGGTGACTTGACTGATGTGAGGCATTCCCTCACTGAGGTAGGAACCAGCTTGCCAAGTTCATGGGCAGCTCATGCAACATCTGCCTCCAGACAGCCATCGTCATCCCTGGAGGGGCTGAAGACAGGATGGTGTAGAGAGAGTGGAGGGATAGTGCATTCTAACACACTGTTCATCACTTTGACCAGCTCCAAAGGGAAGCAAGTGATGTGCCTCAACTTCACTGGGGGCTGGGTACAAGGCTAGAGGGTGCTGAGTGCCAAGGGGGTAACACTTTCCTCAGCCTGCTCTCCTCTGTGACCTAGGGTGCAGCTCACATGCTCCAGGGACAGGGATCCCTGTTGTCCACAGGCTCACCTAAGTGTGAGTTCACTTTACTGTATTAGGACGCCTAGGAACACTGGACACAGTCCAAGGGTCTGACTGACCTTTGCACCTGAGTCTTCCCTTGCTCTCTGTGGACCACTGCGAGGGTCAGTTGACACCCACTGCTTGTGGCTTTTGGGCCTCCCTCTTCACACTGAAAGGGGGACATAGTGGGCTGGATCAAAGGTCTGGTCTTTGGAAACCCTGCCTGTCTCCAATCCTTCCAGAGGCACGTGGGAGGCAAGACCACCCTTTCTACTGTTTTGAAGATCAGACAATGGCAGAGTTTCCTGAAGCCACTAACCCCAGGGACCCCCAGCAGCCCTATGCCCCGTGGAGACCATAAGGGCCTCCTCCCACCACTGCAGAGTCTCTTACAGGTGACTCTTTCTTGCAGCAAGCACATGGCCCTGACAGCCGAGGAGGAACAGTTTCTGCAGGCCCAAGGTGATGCCCGAGCCAAGCTGGTTGCCAAGGGACTGGCCCCGCTGGTGAAGAAGTGCTTTCTCCCCCTTAGAGAGTATTTCAAGTATTTTTCTCAGAACTCACTTCCTCTTTACAAATGAATCATGATACGATGAAAAGGGAGGCTTTCCTAGAACCAAGGTGGCTTCCCTTGTACAGCGCTTTCCCCTCTGTAGATTATTCGGTGTGCTTGCCTGCCTTGAGTTTCTCCTGTTTGGTTCCCAAGATGCAGGTGCCTCTTGCCGGGCAATGTGGGGTGGATGGTACCAGCTGCTGTGGACCAGATCCCTATGGGATAGCCTGTTCTAGTTCTTGAAAATGTTTGTATTCCTGTTGTGAAGTTTAAAGTATATTTATTATAGGATTGTGACTGGTCATGTCTCGGTGCTATGTGTGTGAGTGTGCCCTTTATTCTGTACAGTGAGGGTGGTGACGTTTCGATAGACACTGTGCACGCCCACCATGGACACACATAGCACCTTCCAATTGGAAGAACACAGTTAGTGTTCCAATGAGGCTAAACCCACGGGAAAATGCAAGCTGGCCAGCTTCACTACCTGACTGTTGTTTAGTTTGATGGCTGAAGTCACCTTCCGCTTGCTCCATGTCACACCCCATTGCAGAAAGTCACATCCAATGAGCAGATCACATGACTTGGTCCTCCACGTGTGGAGGGAATTACTTGCAGAAGTGGGTCCCGACAGCTCTCAGCAGTTAGGGTTCCAATGAGGCTAAACCCACTGGAAAATGCAGGCTGGCCAGCTTTGAACCCAGTTAGCCAGAACCCCAGCCCCTCAGCCTGGACCTAGACCCCAATAGTGAAAAAGACTCAAACTGCCTGGTCACCACGGCTGGGGCTCAGGGACTCTTGGGTCGGTGCTGACACTCAGTGTTCTGTGGAAGGAAGTGGGTTAAAGGAATGTTGATCTTTAAAATATTTAAGGTAGAAGAGGAGCTGTCCTTGGGTCAATAGACAGGACACCATATAACACATGCTTAAAAAATCCTGCACTCTGGTCACATGTGTTCGGGCATAATTCAGCAGTGTTTGATGGCACCACAGCAGAGCCACAGAGCTGAGCCGTGGAAGTGAAGCACTAATGTGTGCACGGACCCTCTGAGTTAGGCCAGACTCTGCCCACCCAGCTGACCCGATAAGTCAGCAGAAGCAGCAAGCTAGAACCGATGACCACCACTGACCAGGCAAGATAGCAGGAGCCCTAGAGAGAAGCAGGTTCCAGAGGCCCCATCCAAGGTTACAGTACACTGGTCCTAAAACAGTGTATTGGTTATGGTACATTGCTTTCTTCTTTTTTTTTTTTTTTTTTTTTTTTTTTTTTTTTTTGTCTTTTTGAGAGAGGGTCTCAAAAATAGCTGTAGTCCTGGATTCACCATGGAGACCAGGCTGGCCTCGAACTCACAGAGTTCTGCCTGCCTCTGCCTCCTGAGTGCTGGAATTAAAGGCATACGCCACCACGCCCGGCTGCTTTCTTTTTCTATTTAACAAAATTACATTTATCTATTTTGTGTGTCCATTTGTATGTGCCAAGGTGCACGTGTGGAGGTCAGAGGACAACCTGTTGGAATTGACTCTTTCTTCCCTCTACCATATGTGTCCTGGGGATAGAACTCTGGTCATCAGGCTTAGTGGCAAGCACCCTTACCCTCTGAACCATCTCACCAGCCCTGTTTATAGTTTGTTTTTCTGAGACAGGGTTTCATATAATCAAGGCTGGTCTCAAACACACTGTGTAGCCAAGGATGACCTTGAACTGATTCTCACCTCCACCTCCCAAATGTGAGATGATAGGTGTGTATCACTATGCCTGGTTAATGTCCACTTTATCAGTCAGCCTCCAAGGAGAGACCAGAGCCCCCAGTGAGGGTCTTTCTGCCACTCAGAATCTGTTCGCCTCCCCATCTTCCACTCACTTTCAAACACACGCATACAGTGAGTAGTCCATACCACAAGACTCACCCCACTGTGTATTCTAATCTTGTGCACGGGCCCCATTTATGATCCCTTGTGGTCAACTGAATAAGGACACCCCTCAAGAGTACCCCCCCACCAACTGTATGGAACCTGTGAGGTCACCTAATGTGGCCAAAAGGACTGCTTATATGGTTTGACTGAGACAGGGAAGCTCTCCTGGACCATCCAGGCAGCCCTGCATGTATCACAGGTGGTCTTGCATGCACCACCACAGGCATCCTTATGAGAGGTGGACTTGACCATGTATGGAGGGGACAGCCCTGAGCCCACAGAGGCCAAAATGAAGAAGGAAAGTCTCAACCAAGGGACACCTGGAGCCCTAGAAGCTGGTGGTAAGGGGGGGGCTCTCCCCCAAATCAGGGCTATTGTTTTTAAGCTACTGTTACTGTGGGGGGAGGAGTGTGTGTGTGTGGTGATTAGCTGTAGCTAATGACTAGACTCCAAGAGAAGAGCAGTCTTTCTCTAGCCAGGAATCAACCTCAGCATCCACTGATGTCTGTGATGTTAGAGACATGCCACTGGACTGGACTCTGGGGGATAGGACCCCCAGTGTGTGGCTCACCAGTCTCTGAGCATCCGGCAGACATGGTTTCACATCTTTTACGCTTTGCTCTATTTTGCTTGGAGAATTCTGAACCCCAAGTCTGCACAAATGCAGTTCCTAGTGGTTCCCACACCTGACCTGCCACCTCCACCTCCCAAATGTGAGATGATAGGTGTGTATCACTATGCCTGGTTAATGTCCACTTTATCAGTCAGCCTCCAAGGAGAGACCAGAGCCCCCAGTGAGGGTCTTTCTGCCACTCAGAATCTGTTCGCCTCCCCATCTTCCACTCACTTTCAAACACACGCATACAGTGAGTAGTCCATACCACAAGACTCACCCCACTGTGTATTCTAATCTTGTGCACGGGCCCCATTTATGATCCCTTGTGGTCAACTGAATAAGGACACCCCTCAAGAGTACCCCCCCACCAACTGTATGGAACCTGTGAGGTCACCTAATGTGGCCAAAAGGACTGCTTATATGGTTTGACTGAGACAGGGAAGCTCTCCTGGACCATCCAGGCAGCCCTGCATGTATCACAGGTGGTCTTGCATGCACCACCACAGGCATCCTTATGAGAGGTGGACTTGACCATGTATGGAGGGGACAGCCCTGAGCCCACAGAGGCCAAAATGAAGAAGGAAAGTCTCAACCAAGGGACACCTGGAGCCCTAGAAGCTGGTGGTAAGGGGGGGCTCTCCCCCAAATCAGGGCTATTGTTTTTAAGCTACTGTTACTGTGGGGGGAGGAGTGTGTGTGTGTGGTGATTAGCTGTAGCTAATGACTAGACTCCAAGAGAAGAGCAGTCTTTCTCTAGCCAGGAATCAACCTCAGCATCCACTGATGTCTGTGATGTTAGAGACATGCCACTGGACTGGACTCTGGGGGATAGGACCCCCAGTGTGTGGCTCACCAGTCTCTGAGCATCCGGCAGACATGGTTTCACATCTTTTACGCTTTGCTCTATTTTGCTTGGAGAATTCTGAACCCCAAGTCTGCACAAATGCAGTTCCTAGTGGTTCCCACACCTGACCTGCCAGGAAAAAGTCACAGTCAAGCACAAAGCCAAGGCCATCCCCCAGCCACAAGACCCTCCCCAGAGGTCTCCTAGCTCCTGGTTTGCCTTAAAGTCCTGTGTGTAAGTTTGGCACAGTGGCACAAGCCTGGGGAGCAGAAGCAGGGGATTGAGAACTGGAGGCCAGCCTGGAATCATCCAGTCTCAACCAAACCAAACCAGAAGTCTGTGTTCGAAAACTGTGCAGCTGTAAAGTGTGCATGGACTCAGAATGGCCACTCGGTTTACAGACTTACACCATCCCTGCTCCCTGAGGAAGTGGCTGTTTGCTTCACAGCTATGCAAAGGCAGCCACTGAGGGGCTAAGTGGATGATGCACAACTCCCAGGAAGTCAAAGTGGAATCTGAACCCAGCCATGCCTTTGCCATGATCTGCCTTCATGCCCCTCCTCATAGGGGCCCTCCCCTGAAGCTGCCCGATTCTGCTCAGCGTCCCTGTCTAGCTCAGCCGCAATTCATGTCACTTCCTTGCTGTGCAGTAGGGGTGGACCTGCCACTGTGTCCTTTCCATGAGCTTACCCCAGGCCTTCCATGGGGGCCTTGGTAGGGAGGAAGCCTGTCCCTCCTGGCCCCACCTCTTCACCTCAGTGACATCTACCTGCACATTGTGGGGTAGAGGAGGAGGCAGAGAGTCAGCAGAGGGGCAGGCCCAGGAGACAGGATGGGGTGGGCGAAGGGAGCCAGCTGCCCTTAGACTCAGCCTGGCTCGACACTGGTGAACCCTTAGGCCTTTCCCAGACTAGCCTATGAACACCAAGTGGGAAACAGGATTGCCAAATTCCTCGGGCTTTAGAAGACTAAAGCTTGGATTCCCAGCCCAGGCTCCCCAGCTTTCCCAGTACAAATGTGTGGCCTAGCCAGCTCTCCAGGTCTTCCCAGCCACAAAGGTGTGGAAGCAGAGCTCGGTGGCCAGGAGGGTGCTGAGGCTGGACCTTGGTGGAGCTCCCTGCCGCTCCTGGCTCCTTCCTGCTGGCCTCCACCCAAACTCCCGCCTGCACACCTTCTGCTCATTAATTCCTAGTCGTTGGGTTCAGTTATCCATGAGCCAGAAGATGTTCCAGCTCCAGGTAGAGGAGACGGAGCGGCCAGGGACTTGGCCCAGCCCCACACCTCGGTTTTGTACCCAGGTTCGTGCTCTGCTAGACCGGGTGGGACACAGGGCTCTAGAGGAGGAATGCAGAGACCAGGCCTGGGATGTCCCGGGCAGCGTCGAAGGACAGAGGCTGAGGCCCAAGCCCTCCCCGCTCACTCCCAGGCGCGGGCCTTTCTGCAGCACCTGTGACCGCTCCTTTTGTGCCCGCCTAGGACTTCCCCGGGCACCTGCCAGGCGGGCCCACGTCCCCGCCCCGGGGGCAGACGGACCCCAACCTGCCCGCCGTCAGAACCCGCTGCTCTCAGGAGCCTGTGTAAGACCTTCCGCTCCGCGGGTCCCCGCCTCCTCCCGCCCCTCGGGCAGTCGCGGGAGGGACGGGCGGAGGGCGGGGACCTGGGCTGCACCCAGCCGGCTCCCGCAGTGCCGTCAGAGCGCAGTTACCGCCGGACTCCCGGCGCCGAGGTCCGGCGCTCCGACTTCCAGCGGCCCCGGTCTCGGCGCTCTGAGGTCTCCGCGCCCCGGCGTCTCGGCAGCTCCAGATCTCAGCACCCCAAGGTCCCCGCAGCCCCAGGGCTCCGCACCCCAAGGTCCCCGCGCCCCGACGTCCGGAGACCCGGGGTCTCCGAGCTCTGGTCTCCGCGCCCACCATGCCGCCAAGGTGAGTCCTCAGCGGGGCGCGTCCGGTGAGTGGGCGGAGAGGAGAGAACTGCGCGCTGCGGCCAGATCGCGCCCGGAGTGGGGCGGAGAGCGCCCCGACCGTAGCCCCCGGGCCCCGGGTCCCCGGCATCTGAGCGCTCGTGGGCTCACTTGGGCGGCCGCGGGAAGTGGGCGGTCACCTGTCCGGCCGTGAACGGTAGGGGGCGGCGCGGGCCGAACTGTGACACCCAGGGACCCGGCGCGCGTGGGCGGCTTGGGGGAGGCTCCCTGCAGAGGAAGGGCGAGACCCAGCCTGGAGGAGGTGCAGGAGACACGCTCAGGCACAGGCTCACCCGCCGCCTCCCTTCTTCCAGACCCTGCTGATTTCCCAGAAGGAAGGATGTGTGATACCTCAAAGGCCAGCTGGTACCCAGTCCTTGGTGACAGAGCACCTGCCCCATACACTTGCCCCCCGCCCCCCAGCAGATCCAAACTGGGCAGTGAGGGGCTGCTGGGAAGGGGAAGTGTGTGTGTGTGTGTGTGTGTGTGTGTGTGTGTGTGTGTGTGTACAGTTTTGCACTATGGCTTTTAAAAAATATATTTATTTATTATTTTTATTTTATGTGTATGGAGTGCATTGCCTGCATGTGTGTAAGTGCATCCCTGTCGGGCAGTGCCCGTGGAGATCAGAAGAGGGCATCAGATCCCCTGGAACTGGAGTTATGCTATGGAAGGTTGTTAGCAGCCATGTGGGCACTGGGAATTGAACCCAAGTCCTCTGCAGGAGCAACCAGTGTTCTTAACTGCTGAGCCGTCTCTCCAGGCCTTGCACTCTGACTTGTTATTAAAATATCCCTTCAGACACTTGTGCAGTGGACACCCTGTGCCCCTTGGTGACCTGGTGACACCCTCTGTCTGCAGGGGTGCTACCCACCAAAGTCCTCAGTCTGTAGGCGATGATGGGGCTCGTGAGTTTGTGTGTGTGTGGTCCTTAGGCCTAGGACATGCCTTCATGCATGGGGTAGGGGTGCTGCCCATTCTAAGGGCAGAGGTCCCTTTGGCTCCCCAGGGGTTTCTCTCCAAACAAATCTGAGAATTCCTGGGCTGCTCTGGAGGGAAGAGCACAAGATTTCAGGTGTTGGAGGTACATGACAACACAAAGAGGCAGCCAGGCCCCACTGCCGGGGCTTACCCCAGATGGGCTTGGGGGTAGGACAAGTCCTGACTAAAGTATCCCAAGCCACTATGGGGTAGAGTACAGATCCCCTGTCACCTGGGAGTCCTCTTGTGGCTGTTAAGAGGAGGTGGCTAGTCTGAGGCACAAGGTCTCATGTGAGGCTGACATCTTAGCTGAAGAAGGACTGGAATGTGAAGTCCCACCAGGTTTGGTTTCAGATGGCCCTGTCCTCACCTGAGCCTGCCTGCCTTGGGGCCATCAGGTGTCTTCCATCTCCGGCACCTCACTGCAGCCTCTCGCAGTCCTGTGTCCCACCCCAGGATGGTGGAGTCATGGAGAGAGGACACAGTCCTTGGCCTGGCAGTGGCTCTCGCTGCCCTTTCTCATCATGCTCATCAATTGTTTTTTAGAGTTAGGAAGCTGCCAGGCCCTGGGGACTTGCAGTGGGGAGGGCAGGGAGATGTATGGTCCCTGCTAGACTCCCTGAGTTCTGTGGAGAACCAGCAGAGGGTGCCCCTCTGGGAGGCAAGCTCTTGTTTCTAGTGGGTGCCACTGTCTCCTGCCTCTGGGAAGCAGCCCCCCAGTTTGGAGGAAGCACTGTCTCACCTGTCTTTCTGCTTGGTCTTTTCTAGTCTTTACCTGGTCTTGCTGCTGCTCAGTGGCCTGCACGCCGGTAAGTTGGGATGCTTTACACTGAGGGGTGAATACCCACTTTGAACCCCTAGCCTGCTGTACTGTGGGGATCATAGACACAGGGCATTAGGGGTGGCCCGGCCATAGCCCCTGCTGCTTTCCCAGGGGCCCTTTGGAGAAAGCTGGGTCCACACACCTAGGTTGATATGCAGGGTTGCAGGTCATAAAGGGAACACCTTCCCCAGACCCATACTGTTGCAGCTCTCTGTGCTGGGAGCTTCCTGTCTCTTCTGGTCTCTTTGCCCATCAGCGCACCACGCCATATAAACCACCACTTTTGGGAAGAGCTGGGAGCAGGACACTGCAAAAGCCAGAGAGGGTCCAAAAATGGAAGCGTGTGGCAGAGGCTGCACAAATGGAAGCTTACATCCCATACCTGGGCTGATACAGGACCCTCACTGCCCTCCTGGTGAACCTTATGGGGAAGGATAGGGTTGGTGTTTGAGTCTTGAGCCACCCTTGGGAAATAAATTGTGCTGCTTTTAAATCGTTGCAGAGAATGAAATCAAGGAAGTCCAGGCAATGGTGGGCAGCGACGTGGCGCTCAGCTGCATCCACCCCAACCAAAGCCATTTCGACTTGAATGATCTCTTCGTCTATTGGCAAATCAGTGACTTGGGCACCGTGGTGGCTTACTACCTGTCTGAGAACAAGTCTGATGCTCATGAGGCCAGCCAGTACAAGAACCGGGCCCATATGTTGCTGGACCGCATGAAGCAGGGCGACTTCTCGCTCTACCTGCAGAATGTCACCCCCCAGGACACCCAAAAGTTCGAGTGCCTGGTGTTTTGGAAGTCCACATTAACAAGGGCTTTGAAAAAGGAGGTCAGGCTGCACGTGGCGGGTAAGACCCTTGAAGCAGAAAACTGGTTTCATGCAGCCTCATACCCTGGAGAAGTTTCAGCCTGGATGCTGAACAGGGAAAGCATGCAGCTCTGAGGCTACTTCATAACCCAAGGCCACCTCCTTACCATCTTTGACTTCAGCTCTCTAACTCAACTCAAAGCAGATTTTTTTTTTTTTAATGAGTGAGTAGGGGTGGGGTGATGGCTCAGTTGACAAAGTGTTTGCTGTGCAAGCCTGAGGACCTGAGTTCAATCCCCAGCTAGGTGTGGTGGCACACATTATAATCCCAGCCCTGGAGAGCAGAGACAGGTGGATCCTTAAGGCCTGCTGGAAGCCAGCCTGGCTACTTGGTGAGCTTTAGGCCAGTGAGAGATCCCATCTCAGAAAACAAGGTGGAGAACTTCTTAGGAGTCACACCTGGGACTGTCCTCTGGCTTCTACACACACAAATCACATGCAGCCCCCACACCAACATGTACACACACACACACACACACACACACACACACACACACACAGTGACAGAGGAGTGCTGGAACACTAAATGAGGTCAGGCTTTGGGGGAAAACTTAGTCCCCCAGGGTCTCCAGGAGAACGGTAGGGAGGGAGACAAATGTGCCTCGGGGAGAAGCTCTAGATTCACACGAGGGGCTAGGAGTTGGTGTGGATACCGCCATTGCCTGCCAGGCTCGGTGGCTCCCTTGTTGGGGGTAGCAGGAGGATTAGTTACTTTTGTGCCACTATGACCAAAATATCTGATATACACGACTTAAAGGAGCAAAGATTTTCAGGGTGTGGTGGCACATACCTTTAATCCCAGCACTCAGAAGGCGGAGGCAGGCAGATCTTTGGGAGTTCTAGGCCAGCCTTGTGTATATAGTGAGACCCTGTCTCAAACAAATAGGGAGCAAACATTTATTTTGGCTGGTGGTTTCAGAGGATTTCAGTCCAGTCTGGTGTGGAAGGAATGAGGAGGCAGCCCAGCTCCTGGCAGGAGCGTGTGGCAGAGGCCGTTTAGACCACAGCAGGCCATGACCTAGAGAAAGGGTCTTACTGGGCCTTGGCTCTCTTTCCTTTTACCTCTTATTCTGTCCCGTCTCCTAGCACTTGGGATGATGTGGTCCACATTCGGAGTGCGTCCTCCTTCGGTTAACCCCCTGGAAACCCCTCACAGACATGCCTAGAGGTGTATCTTAGTCTTGTCAGGTTGGCAGTGAGGACTCGGCCATTGTGCTGGACTCGACAGGCAGCACGAGCTACTCTGACCATTTGCTCCGGGCAGCCCTCCCCCTGGGCTGAGCCTCCCTCACCACTGCCTCTCTCCCCTGCAGCAAACTTCAGCCTGCCTGTCGTCCACAGCAGTAACCCCTCCCAGGGCCAGGAGCTCACTTTCACCTGCATATCCACAAATGGCTACCCAAAGCCCAACTTGTATTGGATCAACAGGACAGACAACAGCTTGATGGATGAGGCTCTGCAGAACAGCACTGTCTCCTTGAATGAGCGAGGCCTGTATGACGTGATCAGCATCCTGAGGATCCCGTGGGCCCTCCATGTGAACGTCAGCTGCTGTGTAGAGAATGTGGTTCTCCACCAGAACCTCACCAGCATCAGCCAGGGAGGTGAGACCCAGGCTGGGGCACAGGGACTTAGGGAGCATCTAGGGTTGGGAACAGAGCCCTCCAGGTGACCAGAGAGACCCAGGGCCTTGAACAGACTCCTCCTGACAGGTAACACATATCAAAAAACCATTGGGTGATGGAGGAGAGTTAGGCGCAGTGACAAAGAGGGGTTCTTGGTTTCTGAGGGCAGGGACAGGGATCCTGCTTAGGTCCAGCACATGGTGACCTGTACTCATTGTCCAGGTTAGTGTGATTGTCACCCATAGAGGCAGTGTGTTGAGCTCTCTCTATCAGTGAAGACTGAGGCTCTGCAGAGCCTGGCAGAAGTTAGGATGGAGGCCACCCTGGGCAACTCCCCCCATTCTCTGCCTTTGAGCATGTATGTGCCCCTCAGGGAATCCAGCTGAGCCCTTGGCCTGGGGCTGAGGTTCCAGGTCTCGTAGTAGGGCAGGGGAGCCTCACCTGAAGGAGCGTCCCCTACACCAGCCTGAAATTTGGGACTTACAGTGATGTCAGGGCAGTTCTCTGAAAGCTACTTCCCTCTTCTTTCCCATGGAAAATACCCTTTCTTTAAGAGACTTTAAGTCTTGGGCCATTTTCCCACTTTCCTCTTCTCTCTCTCTCTCTGTCTCTCTCTCTCTCTCTCTGTCTCTCTCTCTCTCTCTCTCTGTCCCTTCCTTCCTTCCCTCTCTCCCTCCCTCCTTCTCTCTCCCTTTCTTCCTTCTTTCCTTCTCTCTCTCTCTCTCTCTCTCTCTCTCTCTCTTTCATTTTTACACAGAGTCTCATGTAGCCCAGGCTGGCCTCTAACTCACTATTATAGCCAAGAATGACCTTGAATTCTTGACCCCTCTGCCTCCACTTCCAGAGTGCTGGGATTACAGGTGTGTTCTACCATGCCCAGTTTCTGTGGTGCTGGATTGAAACCAGGGCTCTGTGTGCTAAGCAGGCACTCCACCAACACATCTACATCCCCAGCCCCTTTTCCTTTTCTTATAGAAACTTCCATTGGAAACAAAGACATGTTCACAGAGAACCCACAGACACGCCAGGAGGAGAAAATCATGGCCCTTTTCAGCATCCTGGCAGTTCTCTTGGTGGCAGCCGTTATTTCGGGTTGGGTTTGCAGAAGCAAGTGTCCTCACAGAAGATACACAGGTATGCACAAGGGGGGCTGATGGCTCATTGCACTGGTGTCAGCACTCTCTTCTTCCCACACTCTGCAAGGTGCATTTGAGATCCAGTTTTAAAAGCCCAAGTGTGCAGAGTGACTGTCCGAAGCCTCCCAGAAGAGGGTTAGACACTCTGCTCCGTTCCTGATAGAGCTAAGCCAGCAGGAGGCAAAGCCCCATGCTCCAGGCTCAAGGGCTGATGGAGTCTGGATTCAGAGGTGGGATGGAGTTCATTTCTGTGGAAGGCAACTGAGGTTGCTCTAAGTCACAGGCAAGGCTGTGTGCCTGGAGCTTTATGCACCCCAAGGACGGGCCCAGAAAGTGAGATGAAGTCACAAAGCCAGTGAGAAGGGTAGAAAAGCTCTTTGCATGAGCCACAGTGTGGAGCCTATGGCTAGGTAGAGGCTGGAGACCCTGGAGGACCCAGAAAGGGGGTTAGGCTAAATGGAGCCCCATGACCACTGCATGGGTCACAACCCCACTCAGCCTTTGACAGCTTCTTCCCTTTCCCATGAGCTGCACTTAGGTTCCCAGTTTATGGCCAATACTTAGCTGTATCAGAAATACTTTCTATTGCCCCTGGCCCTCTGCGGAACTGGCTGGGCTTTGTTAGGGTCCCTGACCCAGAGACACAGAACATCTTAAATGCTTTCCACATACTTGTCCCTTAAAATCCATCTCCCCTCAAAAGCAGTTTGGTCTGGGGAGCACTTCCTGGGATCCCTCCCCCCACTGAGGGATGGTGGGCAGAGGGGGGGCACTGCTGTGAGCTCGGGATCACTATCGTTTGAAGCACACACATACCCAATGCCTGGAACCTCTCTGTTTTGACCCACAGGTCCCCGGACTGTGGTGCTGGAGCACGAACTCACAGGTGAATATGCCAGTGTTGGGGGATTGGAGGGTTGGGAAGCAGGTTAGCGTGGCTGCTGCCACCTCCCACACCTTCAGAAACCCTCAGTAACCTTCAACTGTTAGATTTAAACACCTCATGAGTCCAGAAATACAGAAACCCTGTCTTGTGTCCACTGCCTAACATTTCATGGTAGAAATTCCCAGACCTTGCACAGCAGAAAGCCTGGCACAGGTCCCCAAGCCCCTTCTGCCTCTGGGTGTTAGGTTTGTGAAAAGACCAGGACCACTGGAGATCACTCTGAGGCGAGAAAAGGAGAAATTTATTGGGATGGACGGGCTGCTGGACCGCTCCCACGGGAAAAAGGAGCAGCAGTTTCTCGTCACAATAGGCTGGATTTTACAGGATTTTTCTGTTGTGGGTAAGGGGAGGTAAGACTGTAGCCGGTGCCTTGGTAGTCGGGGGATCACTTAGGTGTTTTTCAGCTTTTCGGTTGCTGCGATGGAACACTGCTGTTATGATCAGGGTGTGTCGTTAAAGCAAAGGTCAGATGGTTACTGAGAAACTAGGATGCTTTACTTTCTGTTTCCCAGAATGCTACCCACCAGGTTGTGATCGCCATGTTGCTGGTCAGTAGTGACTCCATCTTGGGGCATAGTTTGACCTGACACTGGGGCCTAGAGTAAGTGTAACTCCAGCTTCCTTGGACATGGCCTGCTCTGTCTCCAGTGGCTCAGCGTCCCTTGGGGATGTGCACCTGTGGGTTCCAGAACTGCAGGTGGCAGGCACACCTTCTGTCATCTCCAAAGGTGTGGGCTTATATCCCAATTTTGAAAAATCATGCCGGGCACGGTGGCGGACACCTTTAATCCCAGCACTTGGGAGACAGAGGCAGGGGGATCTCTGTAAGTTTGAGGCCAGCCTGGTCTGTATAGTGAGTTTCAGATAGCTGGGGCTACAGGGAGATCCTGTCTCAAAAGAGACAGGAAAAAAAAAAAAGAAAAATCACACACATGAGGTGTTGGTTGCCCACCAGGAAGTGGTCCTGGCTGTGAAGGGCTTTGCCATTTCAAACTGAACCTTGTTTTTCTCTGTCTTAGGGGTGGTAGAGTGTGTGGTCCCCACAGTATGGTGGGGCCTGCTTACCCAGGTGAGCAGGTATTGATGAACGACTGAAGGAGACATGCTCCCAGGGCTGTGCCAGCCAGTGTCAGGTCACTTTTAAGCAAACTCACTGAAGGAATCTGGGCGTCCTGGTGCTAAACCAGTCAGGTGGTTCCTGTGGCCGGCTGCTTCCAGTACTCAGTCCTTCACTCCTCACCAATATGAGTCCTGGGAAGAATCCTGTCATTGCCCCCAAAATGCAGAGGAGGGCTGGGGGTTGCTCGGTGGCGAGTGCTCACCTGGCAGGCAGGCATGAGGAGGCGGGACTTGGCTTCACCTTCCTCTCATCTTCCCACCTAGATCATGCTTGACGGGACTCTGCCCAGGATGTGGACAGGGCTTCTGTGAGATGCCACCCAGTGGACATCAGACACAACTTGAGAATGGACTCCGACAGGCCTGGTGGCAAAGGGGACACTGAGCTGTCTGCTTGTGTGCTATGATCGTGGACAGGAGCCCTAGCCTTGAGGGGCACGGAGGGTTGATCCCTGGAACCAACCAACTGGGCAGTGCTGACCGGACTAAAGGAGGCTTCTCCAGGGGAGCAGCAGCCCTGGAACATGGAGCCCCCAGTGAGTGGCTCCCCCTCAGCCTCCAGCACAGATAGGAGGAGCTTGTGGGGGATGATCCTCTCCGGAAGGAAACAGAGCACATGACTCACCCCAAGCCTGCATGGAGGACAGGAGCCTTCCTGGGGATTCCGGTTCTTTAAGACTGAAGGAAAGGCATTTGGTCCACTCTGAAAGTGCCTGAAGAATCCACGGGAGATATTTCCCTGCAAGATCTTCAGTGGGAAGAAAGCCTGACCTCACCTGGTTTGGGCCTAAGCTACTTTGACCTCCTAGGGGATGAATGGGGTTTTGTCCACAGAAAACCTGCCCCAGGGCTGATGGATGGCTCAGAGGTTTCAGGGGCCCTTGGCTTTGCAACGTAAAAGGAATTTGCCTTGGAGCAAAACATGGCTGTCTGCTGCAGACTGGCATGTCACCATAATCACCAGAGGCCCTTGAGCCCAACTGTGCCATGCATACAGAGGCCTCCTGCCAGCCACAAGCTCTTTCAGAATGAACTCCACTCATCCGTACCTGGCCTCAACCACCCATCCTGCTGAAGGTTGTCAAGAAGACCTCATCTCCTGCCCACGCCCTGGAACTACCGGCCCACCAGGTGGCTGCAGCCTCCCAGGCCTCTGTGTTGTTGGCTAGAATGGGTCCAGCAGTTTTTTGGTTCTAGGAAGTTGGCTGCCTGGTAACCCAGGTGTGCACACGCTCCAGGAAGATGTGGTGAGGTGAGGAGCATGAATTCCCCTCTGGGACAGAGCATCTGACCCTGGTTGTGGGCAAGCTCCCTCCTTATTTCCCACCCAGAAACCCCGGACAAACAGACTGCTTGGTGTGCTGCTGTCCCTCAGGGCTGACGGAGGTGTAATGTCTGTGTGTCTCAGACCCGGGCAGCACAAGAATGAGAAATGAGGCCCTTGGACAGGCTGAGGGACCAGTGCTGTTATGAGGATCTGCCCAGAGTCTTCACAAGGACTTCAGAAAGAGCATAACAAGAGGCCCACCCGACTGTCCGGGAAAGCATTAGGTGTGTGCATCTGTAAAGGAGCCATAGTCACGATGGGTCGAGTCGGCAGCTGCAGCAAAAAGAGCTCAAGAAGCTGCTGGGGTGCTTCAGGCCTGTGCGCAGCACCCGAAGTGACCCCAGATGCCTGGGCCTGTGCCTGCCGGGGACCCCTCCTCTGGGACACAGCCATGCATTACCTTCAGTTTCTGCCCCCACAGAATGTCTCTTGGCGAAGCCTCGGAACCCAGGCGGGCCACAGCGACCCAGCAGGGAGACCCAGTCCGCTTCCACTTTTCCTGTCAGATGTCAGTTCTCTTAACCCAGCACTCAGGAGGCAGAGGCAGGTAGATCTCTGAGTTCCAGGCCAGCCAGGGCTATATAGTGAGACCCTCTGTCTCAAAGAGAGGGGGGGCAGGAGCTGGCCCTGTGCCTCTGTAGCTCTCCTGCCCCGGGGCACCAGGCACACTGTTGCCACCACCCCCACCACTTACTTTGACATGGGGAACCCTCACCAACTGTGCCTCTGTGGCTCTTCCTGGACCCTGGGCTCTCCAGTCACCATACCCTGCTGACCCTGGCAGGTGGTCCTCTCTCCACCTGCTACTTCCCAAGGGCCCCTGGGAGCCTCCTCCCTCAGCACGTTAGCGTTCGTGAGACCTGCCCTGTAACCTCTGCCTCCCTCAACCCCAAACCTTGCTGCTAGCTCTTTATCTAGGTTGTAGATGGGCTGGATTCCAATGTTCTTCCAGCCCCTTCCAGAAACTTGTCAAGGGATTACAAGATGTACACTGTGCCTTGTGTCCGGTGGCTTTTGTCAGTGCAGTGAGCTGGGGCTGGCTGTTCTTGCCGCTGGTGCCTCCACATGCGCGGTTCCATCCTGAAAGGCATGTGGTCAGTCACTCTAGGAGTTTGTTATGGTTCCCGTGCAGAAGCCAGGGGTGTGGCTCAGCAGCCCACAAAGCAGCCCAGCCCTACCACAGAGGTGCTCCTCAGAGGCCATGGGGAGAGTCCCTCTGACCTGATAGGTGGGCAGGGCATGTGGCCCCAGCCTGGGCTCATCTTATCTGCCCGTTTCCCCTCTGTGAAGTGAGGCCTCTGGAGCTGGCCTCTGTCTCCTAACCTGAGCAGCCCAGGCTCCTGATGGGCCCCCGACTCTGGAGAGCAGCTGAGGTGCTAGAGAAGGCGGCTTCCCTAGGCTGCTGCCAGGCCTGGCTCTGAAGTGTGGGTGTGATGCCTCAGCCGACTTGCCCATGAGTGAGTCCCTGCAAGGGCCCAACTCCAGCTCGGCTGCCGTGTCACCTCCCAACCCAGCCTTTCAAACAGAGGTCAAGGACACAGCCAACGAGGAGGCCGCCCTTGAGGTCATCTGGAAATGATTTCAGTCTTGGCAGCCCACAGCTCACCCACAGCCCAGAGGGCACCAGGGTGCCAAGGGGGTGTAGACTTGTGTGGGCTCTGGCCACATTCTCCCTGCCTACCCTGAGGCTCTCACCAGGGTTAGAGATCCTCATGCCTGATCATCTGTAGGGAGCCCCTCCTGTTCCTGGGTCCCCAGGAATAGAGAAGCCTTCTTGCTGGCCACTTTCTGGGCAGTCCCGTTCTTGAGATCCCAGACACCCCACATCCTGCACCTCCTAGACTCTTTTCCACAGGAAGTCTTACTGGGGACGAGTGGATTGTTGGCACTTCCCTTAAGAACGCATGCAGCAGCATGAAGTCCCAGCCAGGAGCCCTTTGCCCGCTTGCCTCCCCCGCCACTCTCCTCTCATCCTCTGCAGATACCACACAGTGCTTGTCTCTACTTCCCCTGCCAAGTTGGACCTGGACTTTCCCTCCTCCCCTGCCCAGTCCTCCCTCACCCACCCCTGAGGATCAGAGTGAACTCCTGTGGGCAGGGACCAGGCTGCGGGAGCTGGTTCCTCAGAGAACTGGGGACACCCCCTACCCCAGCGCTCCGAGGCAGCTGGTGTGTTGGGGAGCTGCCAGGCTAGACATAAAGACACAAGAAGACTTGCTTTTAGCAAGTCGAAGCAGATCTCTCACACCCTGAGCTCAGAGCGTGACAGACAGCAAGAAGTCAGGAGCAAACAGCCCAGAGGGCTTCTGGACAGGACTTCTGTGGGGCTGGGCTGGGCAGCGAGTACTTCTCTAAGGTGGGCTAGTGTCTGCTGGGAGGGGCTGCAGTGAGCTGTGATAGCTATTGAGGCTGGGACTGTGAGGCAGCAAACGTCTCCCCTCATAGTCTGGAGAACTGAGGTCTAGAAGCAAGGCATGGGGGAGGGTTTTGAGGGTCCCCCGCCTGGTCCAGTCCCCAGTAGCCCAGCACCCGCACTTGTCTTACAACCTCCAGGCCTCTGTCTTCACATAGTTCCTCTTCTGTTTTGTGTCCGAGGACACCAGATTTAAGATTTCTGGTCACCTAAGCCTGTGTGGCCTCATTCTAACCTGCTAGAACCACAGAAACCCTGTTTGACAGTGAAGATTCTGAGAGTGATGAACCTGTTGGGGGCGGGGGACAGACTCGGAGAGAGGGTGGTGACGACACTGGAGCAGGGATGGGGAACAGGGCACTCAAGGCCCAACCTGGCCAAGGTCCAGACCCACATTTCGGGTTTGGACATTGCCTGAGGCACGGGAGGGCTGGAGCTGCCCCTCGCATTCTTGACCCTGTCCGATGGTCGCCATGCATACGGACCCCATGGCTTCATACCCAGCATCACTCCTAGCTGCTCTCGGTGCCGCATGCCCAGCACAGCCCAGGGGCACCACTGTCCAGTAGCTCTGCCCTCGGTCCCTCTACCTCATCCTCACCACACTGTACCTGAACCAGTCCTGAACATTGGGACGTGTGTGTGACTCCACACACACATGTTGGGTAAGACTCCCTCAGGGTGTCCAGCAGCCCCATCCGCAGGCTGAGGACTCTGGACATGGCCAGGCCCCCACAGCTGCAATGGAGGTATGGTATCTGTCCTCAGGGAGAATGGATGTCACCAAGTTTCTGGGGGAAGGCCTGGGGGACAGGAAACTCTGGTAGAGAAGTACTGACCTTGGGGGCTGCTTTGACATTTGAGGTACAACACGGAAAAGCCATGTATGTGTGGGGGGTATTATATCATGGCTGTCCAGGTCCCAAATGGAAAAGATACCAGTTAAGACTTCAAACTCCAAAACCCAAATACCCTACCACTGCGTGGTAGAATTTAGGGAAAAAGGAAAAAACAAAACAAAACAAAAAAAACCCAACTTGCACTCACTGAGTAACATCTGGGGACATTAACTTGACACAATAGGCCTTAACACAAATGACAGAATGTATGAATTCCAGTGGGGGGCTATAGGGAGGTGTCAGTGTGTCAGGGTGATTAAGACTGATTGAAGGGGAATAAAGATGATTAAGATGTTGTGTATTAAATACACAAAAATTCAATAAAAAATTTTAAAAATCAGGCATATCTTTGTGACTTCAAGGCCAGCCTGGTCTACATAGTGAGTTCTGGGACAGCTGGGGCTACAGGGAGACCCTGTCTCAAAAAAAAGCAAAAATAAATTTTATTATTTTTATTTTATGTGTCTGAGTGTTTTGCCTGCATGTATGTAAGTGCACCATGTGTGTGTAATGCCCACAGAGACCAGAAGAAGATACTGAATCCTCTTGAACTAGAATTAAAGAAGGTTGTTAGCCAGCATGTGGGTACTGGAAATTGAACCCAGGTCCTCCAGAAGACAACAAGTGTCCCTAACCACTGAGCCATCCTTCTCAGTCTTGGAAGTAAAGTGGAACTGTGCTAGGAAAGCTGGGCTGTGGGGTGTTGAAGGGCTCTAAGGGCCATGGGCAGTGAATATACTGGGGCCTCCTTACAGCATTGCTGGCTGAGAAGAGACCACTCTAGGCTTCAAGGCACCTCACACACTCTGAGAGGCTGGTAGGCTTCAGCATGTCAGCACCGGTGAATGACAGCCTGGAGACAAAGGTAAGGCCCAGGTTTTAAGGCCTGACCTGCTTCAGTCAGGAGCACCTCTGACAGGTTGGACTTCCAGTCAGGATGCCCCCCTTGAATTGAGAGCCAGATCCCCACTCCCCACCACAAGCTGCAGTGGCCATCATGAGGCTGGACCACAGTGGTGGAGGCACTGGTGGTCACAGCTCAGGAGATGCCAGGTCTGTCCGCTGCTCTCTACCTGCTGCGGAAGATGCTTGTGGTGCTGCTTGCTCAGCTGCAGCTCCAAAACCGGTATCCGAGACCCTGGGGGACTTTCCGAGCCTGCTCTTAGCCGTTGGCCAAGGGAATGTGTGTGAAGGTTCTGAGCGGCTCAGACTTTCGGAGACGTTCACTTGAGACCTAGGTTCCTGTCCTGATCCAGATGTATCGCTTTTGTTTTGACAACTGCTTTGCTTCTTCATTCATGTACTAAAAAAGAAAGAGAAAAAAAAAAAACCAAAACACTTCCTTTGAGCCTCCTGTGACCTGTTCAGGAAGGAAGAGACTTTGTGTCACAATCTTCACTTTAATTTGTGCTCTGAGGGACCAGGATGAAACGGGTCATACCAGGTGCAGGAGGGAGGGAGGGCAGCCAGCCTGGGCTCCTGCAGACTGTGAGCACACAGCGTGGGAAGGGAAGCACTGTTGGGATGCGACAGGCTGGGCATCTCTTAGCTCCCGTTATATACTAAAGGTCCCCAGAAAAACAAGGTGTATAAAACGCAGTAAGGGCCGCACTGAAGAATTGCTATGCACAGAGCCCTGTCTAGTTAACACGCAGCTGCAGGTCTAACGACAGCTGCTTTGCACTGTGGAAGGAGTTGCTTCGAACTCTTTTCTTCTTTGTGAAAAATCAGGACCAGAGATCAGAAGCAGTGAACTTGGATGTGAGAGACACCTCCCTGGGAACGTCACTGGGGGACAGCTCAGGAGTGAGCTGGGATGGTGAGTTCTTGTCTGCCCCTGTGGTCCAAAAGAGGAAGTGACACTTCAGCCAGCCCAAGAGATGCGTGGGGAAGGATCTTTCTACCGAAGTCTCAAAGCCTGCCTGGCTATCCCAGCGTCCCACTGACAGCAGGGATTACCTGAGATCCCATTTCCTGCAAAAGTTTGAGGGCAGCTCTGCATACCGCAAGGGGTTGGACTCAGGTACCTGCCAGGTGGCCCTTCCCTGAAGCGGTCTTCTGCATAGGGGCAGGTGGTACCTCTCTGGTCAGCTTGGGGGGCCCTGGGAGTGAGGGAGTGACCACATGCTCAGGATGTCTGGTTCATACAGAGCACTAATTGTGCTGGACCAGAGTTCTCTTCAGGCAGCCATGAAGAAAAGTTTAAGGCAGAGGAGGGAATGCTCCTGGGTGGGAGCAGAGAGGGGCCTACCCCAGACCCCTAGGGTGCAGCAGTTGGACTGAGACAGCCCCTACCCTGCAGCCTGGGAGGCTGGGGAAGATCTCCAGAATTCCCCTGTGGGACAATGGAACCCGTTGCCCCTGGGACCAACTCCATCTCACAGGGCTCAAGGCGCATCTCGAACAGTCGGAGGTCCTGCCTGACCGTGTGTGGTGTGTACAGAGGGATGAGCAGGGATGAGTTCTTGCCATGCGCCCTGCCTGCATCCACTAAACTCAGCCCCTCGGGCAGTAGAGAGGTGACAGAGTACCAGACCTGAAGGTGGCAATCAGGAGAGCACCCAGGCCCTCCTGGACCCTCACAGAGCCCTTCAGAGCCTGGGTGCCCAAAGGACAGCCTGTCCAGGGCATCCAGCTGTGCTCCAGGATCAGGGAACACACCACACCCCAGGGGTGCCATATCCAATATCACTCAAAAGCTGTGTCCACAAGTGAGTGTGCTGCCAGTGAGGGCCCCGGGGGAAGGGGGGAGGGGAGGGTTAGACTGGAGGCAATGACAGCAAATGAAATGTTTAAGTTATATCACAGATCCTCTTTATGTCCTTAGGTCAAATTCAGAAGAGCCTCTGCTCCAGAGTGGCTGGATCGTTGACCCCGGCTCACACAAGAGATAGAGCCACTCAGCCAAGGCAAACATTTAAGATTCTGTTCAGTTCCAGGCCTCGGGGCTTCTGTTGGCTACTTGGACTTCTGGGTGGGCCCTGCCCATCTCAATCGATGGGGCTGGGAAAGGAGGAGGGAGGACAGGCACTTCCCCCAGCTGGCTGTCCACTGGGGAGGCCTGGCCTCTGCTACTGGGGGCCCTGTGGTCACTGGCCAGTTGTTCTGTCTCTTGTGGGTGTCTCTATCCACAGCTGTCCAGACAGCCTCCTCTGTCAGCCTCCCGCCACTTCCTCTAGCTTCATGTAATGGGAGAGTCTGCAAAGTCCTCAGTCACCACTCCAATTCGCTGGTGCAGCAGGAAGAGCAAAGCTGCCCCTTCCCAGAGAAGCAGAAGTCCCACCTCACAGCACCAACAAAGGATCAGTCTACCCCACAGAATTCCATGCTTGGCTGCTGTGTCTGTGAGTCCTGCTGTGCTATGCGGCCCCTGGGTGCCCCAGCCTCTGGGTGCTCCCTGGCCTGAGAGGGTTACATTGCTGGATCAAACCCCAGGGCACCATTAGAAAGCTGAGAGTTTATAGTCCAGTTCCATCCCCTGACAGTTACAGGAGAGCTTAGGTGAGACTAGGCATTGGGAAGAAGCTCCTCGTGACTGAGTTAGATATCCTCCCAGGACCCACACCATGCTGGGCCCAGCAAGACCCCAGGGAAACACTGAGGACACCCGTATTAGAGAGAGGGGAATGAGTTGTTCTGATCCAGTTTGGAATCACAAAGGAGTATCCAGGCAGAAGCCAGCAGATCTGAGTTTCTGAAACTTGACCTTAGTACTCGGCAGTTACGCAGAATCCTTACCTAGGATGCACCTGGCAGCCACTGCCCAGAACCTGACCACAGTGCATTGCACCCTAGCTCGATGGTCCCTTACCAGGGCTGAGGAGAGGGTGATTCCAGCAAGACACCCAGGGCACAGTGTTCAGCACAACAATGCTCAGGATGCCCTGCATCCACTGGACCCATCTCTTCAGCCCATCCATGCCCAGCACCTGCGTGGGAACAGTGACGGCGAGACTTGGGATCTGGCTGACAGCTCCCAGTTGCTCCCAGGTGCCCTGCAGAGAGCTCCCTGGTCTCTTAGGCCCCGCAGGGCCCAAGATCCTCTCCCAAGTGTGCATCTGGGTCATGGCATTTCCGTGACCTTCCTGCCTATGAGGCTCTATCTGTCCGGAGTCCTCTGTAGGACTGCAGAGCACCTCCCTTAGATCACAACCCTCCAGTGGACCCATGGGTTAAGCTTATGAATGAGTTTTTTCTAACTTTTCAGTTCAAAGGCCCCACCCACCCTGAAACCTGTGCCTGTATCCCTTTCACAAGTGGCCAGGGGAAGCCCCAGAGCTGGATTGTTTGATCAGGAAACACCCCTCGGCTCTGGACATGCAAATTCTGTGGCTTGGATGCTAGCAGCTCACTAATAAAGAGAATTTCCATTGGTTTGGTTAAAAAATCTTTTTTGTTTTTGACAGTTTCTATTGACAAACTCAGCTGGGGCCCCAAGTTTGTCATTGTGAACCCAAGATCCAGGCTAGTTCCCTTTTCATGAAATTGTTCTGCTGACCCCTCTGCCTGTTCATTCATTCATTCCCCCAACACAGAAGACATTATGGTTGAACAGGAACTGTTCTGTTTCTAGGGGGTTTCTGATAGGTTACATTTCTCCAACCCGCCACCCTGTATCCTTCCTTCCTTCCTTCCTTCCCTCATCAGCTCCTCTTCTGGGGGCTGAGAACTATTAGGACCCTGACATTCACACCCCCTGCTGTGGACAGATTGCTGACTGGAGAGTTGGACACCAGAGGGCTGGCTGGGGCAGGTGGAGAAGCTGGGTGAGTGTTCCTGCACAGTGCTGGGAAGGCGTGCTGTGCTGGACAGGGCTGCCTGGGCTGAATTCTCAGCCACACAGGTAAATCCACTCCTTCAGTCATGCTCCAGGCAGGGCGTGGGGCTCTCTTGATGCTGATGGGTCCCCATAAAATGCATGCCATTCCTTACCTGATGGAGGTGCCTGCCAGATAGGACTTCCTGCCCTTCCACTGTATGTGTTCCTGATCAGGCCCGTGCTATTTTGCTGGTTCCTCAGCCATAGTGGCTCTTCCGGCTGCGGTATGATTGGGGTGATATGATGCCACATTATGGCATCACCTGAATAAAAACCAGCCTGACTCTTAGAGTTCATTAAAACCAAGGT